CTCAGGGTCAACATTTCGTGCCCTAGAGAACAGCATGAGCTTGGTTTTACTTGTATTTAACACTAAGTTAAGATCTGTAAGTGATTTCTGAATTGAATTAAAGTCATGCTGAAGTTCACGAATGGCCTGCTGCACTGAGGTGGCACAGGAATACAAAACTGTGTCATCTGCATAGAGATGAATGATACAAGTATTAACAGTGTTTCCTATGTCATTAATATACAAGATTAACAATAAATGGCCCCAAAATAGAACCCCGAGGAACACCTTTTTGAATCTCAAGAAATTCAGATTTAACCCCATCTGTTAAGATGGCCTGAGTTCTGTCGCTAAGATAATTCTTAAACCAAAGCCCAGGGTGATTTAAGGGTGATGACGTCATAATGCAATTGGCAACTATTCTTTTTGCATACAGGAGGGATGTATGTATGGTAGGGAACTATCTTGTGGATGGATGTAGTGACATCTGGACTCATTTAGGTTTGATATTTACGTGTGTTGAGTCTAATGACTTGCTCTAAATGCAAACAGTTGGATGGACGTAAACAGGAACTAGCTTATGAGTGTCTGTTGTGGCTGCTGAAATACACTGAACAAAAATAGAAACGCAACATGTAAAGTGCTGGTCCCATGTTTCATGAAGCTGAAATAAAAGATCCCCGACATTTTCCATATGCACAAAAAGCTTATTTATCTTACATTTTTGGCACAAATTTGTTTACCTCGCTGTTAGTGAGCATTTCTCCTTTGACAAGATAATCCATCCACCTGACAGGTGTGGCATATCAAGAAGCTGATTAAACAGCATCATCTTTATACTGGTCCACCTTGTGCTGGGGACAATAAAAGACCACTTTAAAATGTGCAGTTTTCTCAAGTTTTGAGGGAGCGTGCAATTGGCATGCTGACTGCAAGAATGTCCACCAGAGCTGTTGCCAGAGAATTTAATGTTCATTTCTCTACCATAAGCCGCCTCCAACATCGTTTTTTCGATAATTTGGCAGTACATCCAACCGGCCTCACAACCACAGACCATGTGTAACCACGCCAGCCCAGGACCTCCACATCCGGCTTCTTCACCTGCGGGATCGTCTGTGGGGAAAAAAATAATTCTGATTGGCTGGACCTGGCTCCCCTGCCCAGTCATGTGAAATCCATAGATTAAGGCCTAATGAATTTATTTCAATTGACTGACTTCCTTATATAATATAATATGCCATTTAGCAGACGCTTTTATCCAAAGCGACTTACAGTCATGCGTGCATAATTTTTTTTGTGTATGGGTGGTCCCGGGGATTGAACCCACTACCTTGGCGTTACAAGTGCCGTGCTCTACCAGCTGAGCTACAGAGGACCATGAACTGTAACTCAGTAAAATCTTTGAAATTGTTGCACGTTGCGTTTATATTTTGGTTCGATATAGTTATCTGGAGGAATAGTGAGGAATGATGGAACAACAGCTGTCATGTTATACAGTATACTGTAAGCAGTAGGAGCTAGAGATGAGCTACAACCAGAGACATCCCTCTTATCACCAGTCTGGGGGTACTGCCAAAGATTTTTTATAACTAACCCAAGATAGACCACAGCCTGTCGTTTCCAATGGGAACAAATGAGTCATAGTGGGCAGAACAAGCAAGGAGGTGGGCAGAGCCAAGCACAAGCTAGCGAGATCATATTGGCGCGTTCTAGCAAATATTTGCATGTTTCCTTTAGGGAACGCCTACTCTGTGAAGTGCAATACCTAAATTCGCCTTCGCACTCCTTCTAAACAACGCAATTTTAAAAAACTTTGGCAAAGGGTAAAGTCTACTAAACTTAGTCCACTCTGTTCATAACAGATTATAGTTTTAAGAACAGAAAACTGTATTGAGATCAAATGTTTAATCGATGAGAAAATGTGCAGAATGTCGGCCAAAATCAATCTGGTTCCATCTTCTCCTACTGCCGGCCACTGGGCTTCCTCTCACTACCATATTTGGTAGTGAGTGGAAACGTTAAGCGGATGCTTCACATTTATACATCCGGTGAAATATCTGTCTCATTGTTCTATCTGTGGTAATGCCCTTTCCAGCTCATAGAGGTTCGTGTCAAAACAACATAACTGCATTTTGGGCAACTCTTAGCTTGCAGGCTTGCTTCCACATGTAGGTTTACAAACAGTGGGATGATTCATGGAGGGTGAATTCATTCACTTTTTCATTTTGTTCTTTCTTGTGTGTGTGTGTGTGTGTGTGTGTGTGTGTGTATTCTGTCTGTATACATCTTCAGGTAGCCAGACTTTAGGACCTACAGGACGTGAACAGTCTTAGGCATATGCTCACACAGGTAACAATCAGACATGGGTACGCTCACAGCTAAGCTGCTTTTTCTCAGAGATTTCCCTCCTTGGATAATGCCGGAAAGTCAAGTGACAATGACATGTCAAAAGTTGATTCTCTGTTGAAAACACATCAGAGAAACGTACATGCACTCAGCTCTGCAGATTCAGTCATACCAGAATTATAGCACCTCAGGGTTCATCTTCCTCTTTGTCATTGGTCCTAAATCCTATTTTTTCAGGGCGAAACTCCAAACCACATTCAAGGTGGAATGTTATCACCTCCAAAAAATGCAGAAAAGTTTTATTTGACTATAAAGTAAAAGTGTAATGGATTTGTCCCTGAAAGTTAGGTTGTTATCTCCAGTTTCTGTTGATATTAGTGAGTGACCCCTGTGCACAATAGTTATTCTGTCAGCGTGAAACTGTTTCCCGTCTCCCTCCCCTCCATCCTCCCTTCCTCTATCCCTCCCTTCCTCTATCCCTCCCTCTCTCCCTTCCACCCTCCCTCCCTCCATCCCTGCCTGTCTCCCCCGTGCCCCAGCTTTCAGGCCACATTAGCTCAGGCCGTGATGAACATGGAGCGAGATGTGATTAAGGAGCCTGTCTAGGACTCTCTTCATCAGGGCCCTGCAAGACGTTGACAGCTCAGAGATCAACATTCACTGGGCTTTCAGCCATAGATCAGACAGCTATGGGCCTTAATCAGAGTAGGGAGACTCAAAGGAACTCTTATCTGAAAAACACAGTGCGCTCAGGAAGAGCCACGAAAGCCAATCACACATCAGAAAGATCTATCGCTCGGTCTGTTGGACTTTGTCGCTCTCTCTCTGTCTGTGTGTCTGTCTCTCTCTCTCTCTGTCTCTGTCTGTCTGTCTATCTGTCTCTCCACCAGGACTTGGGATACAGAACAGATACAGGTCTTACTTCGATTGTCATTTCACGCTTTGGTTTCCTCTAATGTGATTGTTCTGACTGTTCTCTCTATGTGGATTTCAATTCTAATTCAGATAAAACAGCAGCGATGGGATTTATAGTCATAGCTTGATGCAGACATCCAGTTGAAATGTACCAGTTTCTTTTTGAAAAGTTTAATTACATCTAAACAAGACTTTGTGTGTCAGTGCGTGCTGTAAGTCAGTGGCAGGGAGCTGTAGATGTGTTTTACTTTAAAATACGTCCTTTATATAATACCAGAATACGTCCTTTATATAACACCAAAATACGTTCTTTAAAATACGTCCTTTATATTTATAATACCATACGGCCCTGGGACATCATCTACTTTACTGTTCATTTTCTCGTTCACAAGCTGGTGTCCATCCATTTGAAGCAGGTAGGGTGACACAGACAGACAGTGCTACTATTAAAAGGCGATCCAATGAAGTCCCTTATCAGCTACACAAAGATAACAGGCATGCTCGTCAGACTCAGCCTTCAAGCTCAATAGGAGCCCAAATAGGTTATTAACCTGGGAGATAGATCAGATGTGTAGATACATGTGTTAATACTCGCATTGTCACATGTTCCACACCTTCCATCCCACCTCTTAACATTCTATGCAATCAGACCACTCCCCTGGAGTCTGGAAATCTCTGGCAGTGTCCTAGATGACACCCTATTCCCTACATTGTGCTCTATGGGCCCTGGTCCAAAGTAGTGCACTAGATAGGGAATAGGGTGTCATTGTGATGCAACGCCTTGGCGTCTGGTTTGCATCACAATGCACTGATAACCTTGGGAATACTTTTTTTGTTTGTTTTTTGTATCACCTCAAAACACCTTAATCCTACCTTAATCACCCGAGTCTGACAGGTGACATTCAGTTTGCGTTGCGATTACTGCGTAATCTGCTGTTCACACTGCTGTGGGAGTCCTATACATCAGTAGCAGTGGCGGTTTTACACGGAGGCCGGGGGAGGCTCCCTGGAAATGTCCCTGGCCACCCCTGTGGCCCCCCCCGTGCTGACCAAATAAAAAATTATGAATTTATAACTATTTTACACGCGAGCACCAAAAGCGGAACTAATGCAACGCTCTACACGGCAACGTTCTACACGGGTAAATTAGAGTGGCGCACCCAAAAACTGTATCCTGCCATCTGCCTGCCTGCCACGTGTGGTGCTGCTTCGGTGAATGAGAGCTCAGCAACTACTATTTGCGAGAGGAGCTACGATTTGCAGGAGTCGAAGGTAAGCAAAAACGATTTAATATCATAAGTGACTTGTTGTTCTTGCACATAGCCTACATGTTCCTTTTGTTCCTCACACATAAATCAAATCAAGTTTTTAAATGTCTGGTCTTGATTTGTTTAGAAATGTAATCATATCGAAGCAAACTCATCGAAGCAGAAGCAAATATCCAAATGTTAGTAGGCTATCCTTGCTAGGTCTACACAATGTTGTGATGTTAACCACGTAACTTCATCCGTCTTGGCTGTTGCATCGCGATAACAAATACATTTTTAGTAAAGTAATCAACAGGTTATCTGCCAGTGTTAAGTAGGGAGGGATGGTTAGGTAACAAAATGTAATGCATGCCCCTACGTTTTTTCTTCTTCTAATAGTTATCATGAAACGAGGAAGGGACATAAAGTCATTTTTTGCCCCAGCAAACAAAAAAGTGAGAGAAACAAATCGAGGTTTTGAGAAAGTTGAGGAAGAGGGAGAGCCAGCATGTGATGAAAGTGAGGGGTCTGACAAAGAGAGGGAAATTCCAGAGGGTGAGGAGGATGAATAAGAGGGTGAGGAGGATGAAGAAGAGGGTGAGGAGAATGAAGAAGAGGGCGAGGAGAATGAAGAAGAGGGTGAGAAGCATGAAGAAGAAAGCATACAGGGACAGAGAGATGAACAGCCAGAGGGACAGCAAGTGGATCCATGTGGATCAAGTACTGCACCATCAGGTTTGTGATGAGGAAGGTTCTTACTATTTGCAAAGCAATGCAATTACAATGTAATGGTAGGCCTGCTGGGTGTCCTTAAAATGCTGCTTTCTGCTGTTAATTCTTTTTTGTGTCAATATGGCTCTGTTTTTTTTTTAAAGTAAATACTTTGCCTACATTTTGAAATACATGCAGATATACAGTAAATAAATGTTGTAGTTGTGCCCTATGTTTACTGTCCATCTTCTTCAGATATCAGCAAGTCTAAGTATGACGTACCAGTACAGCCGAACTTGAAGATATTCCCAACCACACTGATGGGGGACAGAAGACGAAGCTTCAGACCAAACTGGTACACTACTCATCCATGGCTTGAGTATTCTGTAATGACGGACTCTACATGTTGCTATGCATGTAGACATTTTAGCACACCAAATGCCCCAGACACCGTTTTTGTTTCAACACCTGGTTTTACAAACTGGAAAAAGGCAACTATGAGAAATGCAGGGTTTTCACTACATGCAAAGTCTGAACGACACAAGTGTGCAATGATCGCATGGAGGGATTATCAAAGAGCTGTTAGAACTGACGCAACACTAACAGATCTCCTTGACAAAGAACACACTAAACAAGTACAAGAAAATCAGGCATACATTAAAACAGTTGGGGAAGTGCTGTTGCTTACAGCTACACAAAACATAGCACAAAGAGGACATGATGAATCTGAAGGGTCCACTAACAAAGGAAACTTTAGGGAAATTCTTAACACAGTTGCTAACCACGACCAACTTGTTAAGAGAAGATTAACTTCCATTCACAATGCAAAGTACACAAGCAAGATCATCCAGAATGAGGTTTTGGGTTGTTTGGCAGAAATGGTTCGGTCTGAAATCATAGAAGAAGTGAAGAAAAGTGAGGTTTTTAGCGTCATGGCAGATGAAACAAAGGATATTTCAAAAAAAGAACAGATGTCCTTCACACTCAGGTACTATTACAATGGGGCCATTAAGGAGAGTTTTCTCCATTTTGAATCTGCAGAGAGGTTAGATGCAGCAGGGCTTACTGGAAAAATAGTACACTTACTGGAACGTTATGGCCTGGACTACAAAAATAACCTCGTAGGCCAAGCGTACGATGGCGCTGCCGTTATGAGCGGTAAGCATTCAGGGGTTCAGGCAAGGATCAAAGAACAGGCTAAATTTGCCTTCTACGTCCATTGTAGTGCTCATTGTCTGAATTTAGTGTTAGTTGATGTAGTCAAAAGTGTCCCAGAAACTGATGAGTTTTTTTCTTTGTTACAGAGTCTTTATATGTTTACTTCTTCCTCATATGTGCACCCAAAATGGCTGTCTCTCCAAAGAGAAATGTATGGCAGAACCAGAGAGCTGCAACGTTTAAGCGACACACGTTGGTCATGCCGATTTCTAGCCCTACGTAATATCATGGACACTCTACCTGCCCTTAAACGACTACTGCAAGAGATTGCTCAAGAACGTCATGGTGAAAGAACTGTTGAGGCCCGAGGTCTTCTTGCTCAAATTGACCTAGAATTTGTTGTGCATCTTGTTACTCTGCGTAAGTTGTTTGGGGAGACAAAGCTATTGTCTGACATGTTACAGTCACAAACTGTTGATCTGTCAAGTGCTGTTGACTTAGTAAATGCTTTAGTCCTGACATTGAAAGACCACAGGCAGGAGTCTTTCTTTGATGAGTTGTGGGATGAAGCATTGAATATTTGTGAGCAGTGTGATTCTGCAACAAGGTCAGTGGCGAAACGTCAGAAAATGCTGAGCTCTAGACTCAGTGGCTACTGCAAGCTAAGCACTGTTGGTCAGAGGGAGGTAGAACGTGACAAAGATATGTTTCTCACATCATTTTTCTATCCTGTAATTGACAGCATGCTCAATGAGTTGAACAGACGTTTCTCCAATACAAACTGTGAGCTCATGAGAAGCATACAGTCTCTCAGTCCCCAGAGTGATACCTTTTTAAAGGAGAGCAATGTTTTTTCATTTGGCCGTTTGTATAATGCAGACATTGATGATTTAGGGCATGAGCTCCATCAATTTAAGAGAGTTTTGGACAGAAAAATACAGAGTGGTGAAGTCAAAAAGCCATGCAGTACAGTTGAGCTGGTTTGTTTTATTGAGCCATACAGGGAAGTTTTCTTTGAGCTCTTTAGACTGTGCAAGATTGCTGTAACCCTTCCTGTAAGCTCAGCCTCTTGCGAACGCAGTTTCTCCACACTGAAACTGATAAAAACCTTCCTGCGGTCCACCACTAGTGATGAGAGACTCAGTGATATTGGTGTCCTGAGCATAGAGTCCAGAAGGGCCAAGGCTCTGGATCTTGATGTATTTGTGGACCGTTTTGCCAGACAGCACAACCGCCGTATCCTGTTGCTGTAGTGTATCTATATGATATATACGCTAGTAGCGTATGAGTGCCGCTGTGAGGAAAAATAGATATAATGAACAATAAAACAACAAGCTTGAGCTTCTTAAGACACGGTGGGTTTATCTGTTCTCAATACCACCGGTAAAATGAATGGAGTTAGTCTGGTGTCCACATGAAGTTACGTGTGTAGACAAAGAGTCTGGTGTCCATATGAAGTTACATGTGTAGACAGAGACAGTCTGGTGTCCATATGAAGTTACATGTGTAGACAGAGACAGTCTGGTGCCCATATGAAGTTAAATGTGTAAACAAAGACAGTCTGGTGTCCATATGAAGTTACATGTGTAGACAGAGACAGTCTGGTGCCCATATGAAGTTAAATGTGTAGACAAAGAGTCTGGTGTCCATATGAAGTTACATGTGTAAACAGAGACGGTCTGGGGTCCATATGAAGTTAGATGTGTAGACAAAGACAGTCTGGTGTCCACATGAAGTTACATGTGTCTACTTAGATGAACCCACCGTGTCTTAAGAAGCTGAAGCTTGTTTTATTTTTCATTTTACATCATCTATCTTTTTTTCCTCACAGTACCAGTAGTTCCACACACTACTAGAGTGTATGTATGTTTGTATGTATGTATATATATCCCACCAATCCTCTCTCAAGAGGTTTTCAAAAAGGGGCAAACTCATGTCTCAAGACCTGCTTCTGTTGGTTCCCCTCTCCTGCCTGTAACTTTCCATCCACATCCCCAAAGTTTTGTGGCCCATTATGACATCACTCCATTAAGTGATTGCTGCATGTACTGCTCTAAGGAAACACTTCTCTCTCTCTCTCTCTCTCTCTCTCTCTCTCTCTCTCGATAGATAGATAGATAGAGTTTATGATTTTATTCTTTTGAATTATCTCTGCCAAACATCTATGTACTACAAATCTTCAAGCTCCACAGATGTTTTATGGCATCCACTAAACCTCTTTAGATATTTGTAAATTATACAGTGTGATACCTTTCAACGAAAGTTTATTTTATTTTTTACCAACTATGATTTTTCCTTTTGAAAACAAGCAAAGCAAGAAAAAAAAGAAACAAAATCACTCCAATCATTGCACACTTGTGTCGTTCAGACTTTGCAGGTCCAGCTTTGACATGATGATCTAACTAACACTAATATTGTAACTAATATTGTAACTGAAATATGTATGATCCTATGATGAGCGATTGCTTACTTCCCTTTCACTCTTAAAAAATTACTGAAAAAAAATGTTGTATAAAAAGGTATATGTAGTATATGTTTGTTTAGTGAGCATTCATGCTGTCATTTTTTCCTAATGTGAACTATGGTGGAAATGTGCTGTCCTAAATGGACTTGCCCATATATGTTGTAAAGCCTTTTTTTGTACACCTGCTCATCAACTGACAGTGAAGTACACAAAGACACAGACACACACACACACACACACAGACACCTGTAATATTCTTGTTTTCATGTTGTTGCTGATATCCATCAGTGTTGTTCATATTGCTACATTGTGTTGACATGATTGTTGCTTTTAAACGAATGTTAACTTAATGTTTATTGTCTGCATCCTATTGGACTACTGGATGTTAATGTGTAACACGTTTCCCTGTTTATGTGCTTTAGCAATACTGTATGTCAATATGGTCATGCTAGTAAAGCCTCTTTGAATTGAATTTCTTTTCTGATTTGGTTTATTTTACCTAAATGGATACAGGGTAGTGTGTTTTGTTTATAAATCACTCAGAAAGTTTTCTTTCTTAAAACAAAATGTGGAATCAACTGTCCACAGTAGTGGGGCTTCCATAAATAGGAAATGGCACATTGTTGTACCCTTTGTTGTATCCTGGAGTTTTGTTCACATTGAATATGAACCCTGTATTTGTACCCTGTACTTTTTAATTTTTATTTATTTATTTATTTTTTTCATTTTTATGGCACTATCTCTCTTGCATCTGCACTCTTGTACAAAATACGTGTTATAATAAATGTCATATGATTTTAAAGTAAAATAAAGTTTATAATCTTTGAATATCATGTGTTGCCAGTTTTTTTATGTGTGCCCCCCTGATTAAACACTGGCCCCTCCTTGGCCCCCCTAGTAAAATGTGTCTAGAACCGCCACTGATCAGTAGTGCAAATTTTTTTTTGCAAAGTGCAAAAAATGACCATAAACCTCTCTGTAATCTGAATGTGAATTCAACAATGTTTGTTATAGAGGCAACTATTTATGTATTACTCAGTTTACTAAACTCATTAGTTTAATCAATCGCCTCCTTATAACGCATATTGTTAAAGAAAAATGTCAAATGTAACCACACTGCAATATTATAATAAGGTTATTGTATTTGTTGCACTTTGCACAATTATTTTGCACTACGAAAATGTCGACCTTAAAAGGCTTCCGCATGTTTCGGTTCGGCTGGCAGTTAGTGTGCGCGCATCAGAGCATGTGAGCAGAGTTGAGTGGTTGGAAATCCCGCTCTGGTGCTCCATGTCCTTTCCAACCGCTCCTGCTAAAAACCTGCTCAGCACTCAAAGAAAAAAAAAAACTGCTATCCAAATTCGCTCCATTCATTAAAACCACAATTTAACCAACTGTGACGAGGTGTGAATGAAGGAGTCAGGCGCAGGAGGTAAAATACCGAAGTCCAGAGTTTATTCCGTTCACATAAATCAAACACCCAAAGCGTCAAAACGAAACTATTACAAGGGAAAACATCCACCTTGGCATAAACATAGTGAATAGTAGCTCAACCGAGCTATACACTCTCACAACAAACAATCACTCACAAAGACAATGGGATCCGCAGTAGCTAGTACTCCGGTGACGACGAACGCCGAAGCCTGCCCGAACCAGGAGGGGGGGGGGGGCAGCCTCGGCGGAAGTCGTGACACCAACACCCATATATTTTTGTGACTACCTGGACATACCATTTAGTTTTGAAGTATTGAAAACAAACCATGTGGATTTGAATGAAATGTATTTGAATAAACATGAAAGGGTGAATATAAGAAGCACACATCATTTCAAATAGACTACATGTCTTATTAAACAGCATATAAACACTCTAAATAGGTCAGGAGCCAGACAGGTACTGCTTTGGACCTAGACTTGGCGCTCCGGTACCGCTTGCCGTGCGGTAGCAGAGAGAACAGTCTATGACTAGGGTGGCTGGAGTCTTTGACAATTTTGAGGGCCTTCCTCTGACACCGCCTGGTATAGAGGTCCTGGATGGCAGGAAGCTTGGCCCCAGTGATGTACTGGGCCGTACGCACTACCCTCTGTAGTGCCTTGCAGTCGGAGGCCGAGCAGTTGCCATACCAGGCGGTGATGCAACCAGTCAGGATGCTCTCGATGGTGCAGCTGTATAACATTTTGAGGATCTGAGGACCCATGCCAAATCTTTTCAGTCTCCCGAGGGGGAATAGGCTTTGTCCTGCCCTCTTCACGACTGTCTTGGTGTGTTTGGACCATGATAGTTCGTTGGTGATGTGGACACCAAGGAACTTGAAGCTCTCAACCTGTTCCACTACAGCCTCGTCGATGAGAATGGGGGCGTGCTCAGTCCTCTTTTTTTTTTTCCTGTAGTCCACAATCATCTCCTTTGTCTTGGTCACGTTGAGGGAGAGGTTGTTATCCTGGCACCACATGGCCAGGTCTCTGACCTCCTCCCTATAGGCTGTCTCATTGTTGTCGGTGATCAGGCCTACCACTGTTGTGTCGTCGGCAAACTTAATGATGGTGTTGGAGTCGTGCCTGGCCATGCAGTCATGGGTGAACAGGCAGTACAGGAGGGGACTGAGCATGCATCCCTGAGGGACCCCGTGTTGAGGATCAGCGTGGCAGATGTGTTGTTACCTACCCTTACCACCTGGGGGCGGCCTGTCAGGAAGTCCAGGATCCAGTTGCAGAGGGAGGTGTTTAGTCCCAGGATCCTTAGCTTAGTGATGAGCTTTGAGGGCACTATGATGTTGAACGCTGAGCTGTAGTCAATGAATAGCATTCTCATGTAGGTGTTCCTCTTGTCCAGGTGGGAAAGGGCAGTGTGGAGTACAATAGAGATTGCATCATCTGTGGATCTGTTGGGGCGGTATGCAAATCAGACTGGGTCTAGGGTTTCTGGGATAATGGTGTTGATGTGAGCCATGACCAGCCTTTCAAAGCACTTTATGGCTACAGATGTCAGTGCTACGGGTCGGTAGTCATTTAGGCAGGTTATCTTAGTGTCCTTGGGCACGGGGACTATAGTTGTCTGCTTGAAACATGTTGGTATTACAGACTCAGTCAGGGACATGTTGAAAATGTCAGTGAAGACACTTGCCAGTTGGTCAGCACATGCTCGGAGTACACGTCCTGGTAATCCGTCTGGCCCTGCGGCCTTGTGAATGTTGACCTGCTTAAAAGTCTTACTCACATCGGCTACGGAGAGCGTGATCACATAGTCATCCGGAACAGCTGGTGCTCTCATGCATGCTTCAGTGTTGCTTGCCTTGAAGCGAGCATAGAAGTGGTTTAGCTCGTCTGGTAGGCTTGTGTAACTGGGCAGCTCGCGGCTGTGCTTCCCTTTGTAGTCTGTAATAGTTTTCAAGCCCTGCCAAATCCGACGAGCGTCAGAGCTGGTGTACGATTCAATCTTAGTCCTATATTGACTCTTTGCCTGTTTGATGGTTTGTCGGAGGGCATAGCGGGATTTATTATAAGCGTCCGGGTTAGAGTCCCGCTCCTTGAAAGCGGCAGCTCTACCCTTTAGCTCAGTGCGGATGTTGCCTGTAATCCATGGCTTCTGGTTGGGGTATGTACGTACGGTCATGTTGGGACAACGTCATCGATGCACTTATTGATGAAGCCAGTGACTGATGTGGTGTACTCCTCAATGCCATCGGAAGAATCCCGGAACATGTTCCAGTCTGTGCTAGCAAAACAGTCCTGTAGCTTAGTATCTGTGTCATCTGAGTCACTGGTGTGTTGTAGCTCCGGACAAACTCACCTAATTCAACTCATTGAGTTCAATCAGATGTGCTTGTCTGAGGCTACAACAAAAATGTGTACTGTTGGGGGTACTGGAGGACTGGAGTTGGGCTGTTAGGAGTACTGGAGGACTGGAGTTGGGCTGTTGGGAGTACTGGAGGAGTTGGGCTGTTGGGAGTACTGGAGGAGTTGGGCTGTTGGGAGTACTGGAGGACTGGAGTTGGGCTGTTGGGAGTACTGGAGGAGTTGGGCTGTTGGGAGTACTGGAGGACTGGAGTTGGGCTGTTGGGAGTACTGGAGGACTGGAGTTGGGCTGTTGGGAGTACTGGAGGACTGGAGTTGGGCTGTTGGGAGTACTGGAGGACTGGAGTTGGGCTGTTGGGAGTACTGGAGGACTGGAGTTGGGCTTGTTGGGAGTACTGGAGGACTGGAGTTGGGCTGTTGGGAGTACTGGAGGACTGGAGTTGGCTGTTGGGAGTACTGGAGGACTGGAGTTGGGCTGTTGGGAGTACTGGAGGATGGAGTTGGGCTGTTGGGGTACTGGAGATGGAGTTGGGCTGTTGGGAGACTGGAGGACGGATTGGGCTTTGGGAGAAATAGGACTGGAGTTGGGCTGTTGGGAGTACTGGAGGACTGGGTTGGGTTTTGGGAGTACTGGAGGACTGGAGTTGGGCTGTTGGGAGTACTGGAGGACTGGAGTTGGGCTGTTGGGAGTATGGAGGACTGGATTTGGGGCTGTTGGGAGTACTGGAGGACTGGAGTTGGGCTGTTGGGAGTACTGGAGGACTGGATTTTGGGCTGTTGGGAGTACTGGAGGACTGGAGTTGGGCTGTTGGGAGTACTGGAGGACGGGTTTTGGGCTTTTGGGGAGTACTGGAAGGGATTTGGGGCTGTTGGGAGTTACTGGAGGACTGGAGTTGGGGGGTTTTTGGGAGTATGGAGAAAGGGTTGGGGCTGTTGGGAGTACTGGAGGACTGGAGTTGGGTGTTGGGAGTACTGGGGGATGGAGTTGGGCTGTTGGGGTATGGAGGGGTTGGGCTGGTTGGGAGTATGAGGACGGAGTGGGGGTTTTGGGAGTACTGGAGGATTTTGGGCTTTGGGGTACTGAAGGACTGGATTTTGGGCTGTTGGGAGTTATGGGGACTGGAAGTTGGGCTGTTGGGAGTATGGAGGACTGGAGTTGGGCTGTTGGGTGACTGGAGGACTGGATTTGGGGGGCTGTTGGGAGTACTGGAGGAGTTGGGCTGTTGGGATTACTGGAGGATTTTGGGGTGGATTTGGAGGACTGGAGTTGGGCTGTTGGGAGTACTGGAGGACTGGAGTTGGGCGTTGGGAGTACTGGAGGACTGGAGTTGGGCGTTGGGAGTAATGGAGGAGTTGGGCTGTTGGGAGTACTGGGGGACTGGAGTTGGGCTGTTGGGAGACTGGGACTGGAGTTGGGCTGTTGGGAGTACTGGAGGACTGGAGTTGGGCTGTTGGGGGGGACTGGAGTTGGGCTGTTGGGAGGAGGGAAAGGAGTTGGGCTTTTGGGGAGTACTGGGGGCTGGAGTTGGGCTGTGGGACTGGGGAGGGCGTGGGGATGGAGGACTGGCGGTGTTGGGGGCCCTGGAGGACTGGAGTTGGCTGTTGGGGTACTGGAGGACTGGAGTTGGGCTGTTGGGAGTATGGAGGACTGGGGTTGGGCTGTGGGACTGAGGACTGGATGGGCTGTGGAGTACTGGGGGAAACGGGAGTTGGGCTGTTGGGAGTATGGGGGACTGGAGTTGGGCTGTTGGGAGTACTGGAGGACTGGAGTTGGGCTGTTGGGAGTACTGGAGGACTGGAGTTGGGCTGTTGGGAGTACTGGAGGACTGGAGTTGGACTGTTGGGAGTCCTGGAGGACTGGAGTTGGACTGTTGGGAGTCCTGGAGGACTGGAGTTGGGCTGTTGGGAGTACTGGAGGACTGGGGTTGGGCTGTTGGGAGTACTGGAGGACTGGAGTTGGGCTGTTGGGAGTACTGGAGGACTGGAGTTGGGCTGTTGGGAGTACTGGAGGACTGGAGTTGGGAAACACTGCTGTACTGTAACCTTGTCCTTGTAATCTGTTTGCGTCATGTGGAACGGACGTCTGGGAAAGCTGGTATTACCCATGGACCTTTGCACTTGCCTGGGGTATGATATGCTATACAGTGCATTCGGAAAGTATTCAGACCCCTTGACTTTTTCCACATTTTGCTACGTTACAGCCTTATTCTAAAATTGATGAAATAAATGTTTTTCCTAATCAATCTACACACAATACCCCATAATGACAAAGCAAAAACAGGTTTTTAGAAACCTTATATACACAAGTATTCAGACCCTTTGCCATGAGACTCGAAATTGAGCTCAGGTGCATCCTGTTTCCTGAGTCCACCTGTGGTAAATTCAATTGATTGGACATGATTTGGAAAGGCAAACACTTGTCTATATAAGGTCCCATAGTTGACAGTGCATGTCAGAGCAAAAACCAAGCTCTGAGACAGGATTGTGTCGAGGCACAGATCTGGGGAAGGTTACCAACACATTTCTGCAGCATTGAAGGTCCCCAAGAACACATTCTTAAATAGAAGACATTAGGACCAACCAAGACTCTTCCAAGAGCTGGCCGCCTGGCCAAACTGAGCAATCGGGGGAGAAGGCCCTTGGTCAGGGAGGTGACCAAAAACCCGATGGTCACACTGACAGAGCTCCAGAGTTCCTCTGTGGAGATGGGAGAACCTTCCAGAAGGACAACCATCTCTGCAGCACTCCACCAATCAGGCCTTTATGGTAGAGTAGCCAGACGGAAGCCCATGACAGCCCGCTTGGAGTTTGCCAAAAGGCACCTAAAGGACTGCAGAGAAGAATGGGAGAAACTCCCCAAATACATGTGTGCCAAGCTTGTAGCGTCATACCCAAGAAGACTCGAGGCTGTAATCGCTGCCAAAGGTGTTTCAACAAAGTACTGAGTAAAGGGTCTGAATACTTATGTAAATGTGATATTTCCGTTTTTAATTTTCTATACATTCGCAACATTTTCTAAAAACCTGTTTTTGCTTTGTCATTTTGGGGTATTGTGTGTAGATTGATGAGAGATAAAACGATTTAATCCATTTTAGAATAAGGCTGTAATTTAACAAAATGTGGAAAATGTAAAGGGTCTGAATACTTTCCGAATGCATGTATATACAAAAGTATGTGGACACTCCTTCAAATTAGTGGATCCGGCTATTTCAGCCACACCCGTTGCTGACAGGTGTATAAAATTGAGCACTCAGCCGTGCAATCTCCATAGACAAACATTGGTGATAGAATGGCCTTACTGAAGAGCTCAGTGACCGTCATAGTCAGTTCGTCAAATTTCTGCCCTGCTAGAGCTGCTCTGGTCAACTGTAAGTGCTGTTATTGTGAAGTGGAAATGTCTAGGAGCAACAACGGCTCAGCCGCGAAGTGGTAGGCCCTACAAGCTCACAGAACGGCACCTCAGAGTGCTGAAGTGCGTAAAAATCGCCTGTCATTCGTTTGCAACACACACTACCGAGTTCCAAACCGCCACTGGAAGCAACGTCAGCACAATAACTGTTCATCGGGAGCTTAATGAAATGGGTTTCTATGGCTGAGCAGCCACACACAAGCTTAAGATCCCCATGTGCAATGCCAAGTGTTGGCTGGAGTGGTGTAAAGCTCGCCACCATTGGACTCTGGAGCAGTGGAAATGTGTTCTCTGGAGTGATGAATCCCGCTTCACCATCTGGCAGTCCGACGGACGAATCTGGGTTTGGCGAATGCCAGGGGAATGCTACCTGCCCCAATGCATAGTGCCAACTGTAAAGTTTGGTGGAGGATAAATAATAGTCTGGGGCTGTTTTTCATGGTTCGGGCTAGGCTCCTTAGTTCCAGGGAAGGGAAATCTTAATGCCACAGCGTACAATGACATTCTAGACGATTCTTTGCTTCCAACTGCGTGGCAACAGTTTGGGGAAGGCCCTTTCCTGTTTCAGCATGACAATGCCCCCATGCACAAAGCGAGGTCCTTACAGAAATGGTTTGTCGAGATCGGTGTGGAAGAACTTGACTGGCCTGCACAGAGCCCTGACCTCAACCCCATCAAACAACTTTGGGATGAATTGGAACGCCGACTGCGAGCCAGGCCTAATCGCCCAACATCAGTGCCCAACCTCACCAATATTCCAACGTCTAGTGGAAAGCCTTCCCAGAAGAGTGGAGGCTGTAGCAAAGGGGGGACCAACTCCATATTAATGCCCATGATTTTGGAATGAGATGTTCGACGAGCAGGTGTCCACATACCTTTGGTCATGTAGTGTATCTCTGATGCTGAAACCACTAGTATGAGTCTGGTTCTTCTCAAAGTTTCTGCCTTCCAGGGACCTTTTCCTCACCACTGTTCTTCTGCTTTTTAGGGTCTAGACCGGGTTACTGTAAAGCACTTTGCAACAGCTGTTGCGGCTTTATGAAAATGTTTGATTAATTGGTGGTGTCCTCTGTCCTGTCCAGGTGGGTGTTCATCTATGAGAAAGGCTACCAGTCATCAGACACGGCCGTGGGTTCTGTCTTGACTAAGATGAAGGGGGTGGGTTACACCAATGTGGCCGGAGAGGAGAGGATCTGGGACGTGGCTGACTACGTCTTCCCTGTACAGGTGGGTCATTGGCTGAGTGTGGACCTACTACAGTAGTATTGCTATAAGAAGGACATTTTACTGAATGAATGACCTGAAAGGTCACAGATCTTTAGAACCTTTAGGGACTGAGCCTCACAGTACATCTACCAGTGTTCTGTAATAGTAGTATAGTAGTGTGGTAGTAGTAGTGTAGTAGTGTGGTAGTAGTGTAGTAGTGTGGTAGTATTGTAATAGTAGTGTAGCAGTGTGGTAGTATTGTAATAGTAGTGTAGAAGTGTGGTAGTATTGTAATAGTGGTATAGTAGTGTGGTAGTATTGTAATAGTAGTGTAGTAGTATTGTAATAGTAGTGTAGTAGTGTAGTAGTATTGTAATAGTAGTGTAGCAGTGTGGTAGTATTGTAATAGTAGTGTAGCAGTGTGGTAGTATTGTAATAGTAGTGTAGCAGTGTGGTAGTATTGTAATAGTAGTGTAGCAGTGTGGTAGTATTGTAATAGTAGTGTAGCAGTGTGGTAGTATTGTAATAGTAGTGTAGAAGTGTGGTAGTATTGTAATAGTGGTATAGTAGTGTGGTAGTATTGTAATAGTAGTGTAGTAGTATTGTAATAGTAGTGTAGTAGTGTAGTAGTATTGTAATAGTAGTGTAGCAGTGTAGTATTATTGTAATAGTATTATAGTAGTGTGGTGGTAGTGTAGTAAGGTATTAGTAGTGTAGTAGTGTTGTCGTAGTGTAATAGTAGTGTAGTAGTATTGTAATAGTCGTGTAGCAGTGTGGTAGTATTGTAATAGTAGCGTCAGGTAGCTTAGTGGTTAAGCGCGTTGTGCAGTAACCGAAAGGTCGCTGGTTCTAATCCCCGAGCCGACTAGGTGAAAAATCTGTCGATGTGCCCTTGAGCAAGGCACTTAACCGTAATTGCTCCTCTAAGTCGCTCTGGATAAGAGCTTCTGCTAAATGACTAAAATGTAAATGTAAAAATGGTAGTAGTGTAGTAGTGTAGTAGTGTTGTATTATTGTAATAGTAGTGTAGTAAGGTAAGAGTAGTGTAGTAGTATTGTATTATTGTAATAGTAGTGTAGTAGTGTAGTAAGGTAGTAGTAGTTAGTAGTATTGTTGTAGTAGTGTAGTAAGATAATAGTAGTATAGTAGTAGTGTAGTAAGGTAATAGTATTGTAATAGTAGTGTAGTAGTATTGTAATAGTAGTGTGGTAGTATTGTAATAGTAGTGTAGTAGTATTGTAATATTAGTGTAGTAGTGTGGTGGTAGTGTAGTAAGGTAATAGTAGTGTTGTCGTAGTATTTGTAATAGTAGTGTAGTAGTATTGTAATATTAGTGTAGTAGTATTGTAATAGTAGTGTAGCAGTGTGGTATTATTGTAATAGTAGTGTAGTAGTGTGGTAGTATTGTAATAGGAGTGTAGTAGTATTGTAATAGTAGTGTGATAGTATTGTAATAGTAGTGTAGTAGTATTGTAATAGTAGTGTAGTAGTATTGTAATAGTAGTGTAGTAGTATTGTAATAGTAGTGTAATAGTAGGGTAGTAGTATTGTAGTAGTAGTGTAGTAGTAGTGTAGCAGTGTAGTTGTATTGTAATAGTAGTGTCGTTGTATTGCAATAGTAGTGTAGCAGTGTGGTAGTATTGTAATAGTAGTGTAGTAGTGTGGTGGTAGTGTAGTAAGGTATTAGTAGTGTAGTAGTGTAATAGTAGTGTAGTAGTATTGTAATAGTAGTGTAGTAGTATTGTAATAGTAGTGTAGCAGTGTGGTATTATTGTAATAGTAGTGTTACGAACCCCGTGGCTTTGAACGTCTAGGGTGATGGACATGAGACCCGTAACATAATTCATGTAAATTATAAGTGTGACATGGAACAGTGAGAACAAATATGACACAACAACCATGAACTACCGTCAAACACAAATGGTTTATTTCTGAACACACGGTAACGGTTTGGGAAAAAGGGCTGAGCAGGACCCAAGAAATGAAACAATAGTGTAAAACACCCCTAAACTGATCTTGCCTGCCTCAAGAACCGCTAGGCTACTGCTACCATACAAAAATACAGTGGGTGGTCCGCTCAGGTCTAACTAGTGTTTATAGACAGTTCTTTCTACGGGAAATGTATGCCCAAGGGCAGCTAGCTCAAACTCCCCTTTTCCCAGAAACACACAATAGTTACCAAACAGAGTAACCAGCAAGTAAATGAGTACTCTAAACACAGGACATCACAGTATCCATTACTCACATACAAAACAGTGGTCTAACAGAATTACCAATCATAGTAACCAGCAACTTAGTGAGTAAACAAAAACAGGACACCACCGTGTCCATACTCACATACGGAAATAGTCTCTCTCTCTCACAACTAACACAAGTGACTGGTTTTTATACAATGGGATGTGTGATTGAAAAAAACGAGTAACAGGTGGTGCAATGCACAGGAATGTTCACTGATTGGTCCAATCAGCAGACACCTCAACGACCACCAATCAGGAACATACAGGACACCTGTGATTAGGGCAGAAGGAGAGAAACACACAAAAACACAGGATACCTGTATCCGTAACACTCCCACCCTTAAAAGAGCAAACCACAATGGTTTGCGACACACGTACCATCACAACACCCAAAATTCAATAATCATCCTGCCGGGATAAAAAAAAACCTAGATCATTACACACGAGACAAAGCATCTGCCAACACATTATCCAACCCCTCTTCGCAGAGGAATGGCCTCTGGGTACCTGGTGGCCACACACATAATTGTCAACATAAACTGGTTACCAGATTTTGTTTTTGGTAATGGTCCAACACAATCAACCATCACATGTTCGAAGGGTTCACCTATGGCCGGTATGGGACAAAGAGGCGCGGGGGAAATAACCTGGTTCGGTTTCCCAACTACTTGACAGGTGTGGCAAGTCCGACAGAACCGAGCCACATCTTGTTTTAAGCCAGGCCAAAAGAAATGTCGCAAAACTCGATCATAAGTCTTGGTGACTCCCAGATGTCCGGACCACTGGTGATCATGAGCGAGGGATAAAACATTTTGTCGAAAGGCTGTAGGAATCACTATTTGGTAAACAGCATTCCAATCTCCACCAGCGTCAACATGGGATGTCCATTTACGCATGAGGAGATTACCATCAATGAAGTATGCCATGTTTTTCTTCTTTAGCTCTTCCTCTGAGACAACACTAGAAAAACATTTAGCCAGGCTAATGTCAACCTGTTGGTTAGCGATCAGCTGCTCACGAGTAACTGGTAACTGTATTGCCTCAGCAACAAGTTCCACATCCTTCTTCCTTTCTTTGGGCTGTTGGTCAGACTGCACCAGCTTACCAGAGGTAGCACCCGAACTATCCTCTGGGTCACACTCTCTGAATAGAATCGTGTTCGACAAATCTATCACTTCACCCACTTGTCGTGCTTGAGCACGTGTGACAGCACAAGCGGGGAACACATCTGGATAACCCTGTGCCAGCTCCTCGGAGAGAGACTGGTCACTTTTATCCATTACCTCCAATACGGGTATCACCTTTCCTCCGGCAATATCGTTGCCCATTATAAATGTCACACCTTTTACTGGCAACATAGGACGTACGCCAACTCTGAACAATCCACTGACTAACTCAGAGTGTACGTTCACAAAGTGCAATGGCACTGGGACAAATCCCATTTCAATTCCTTGTACTAACACACTGGAACCACAATATGTATTATTAGACAAGGGCAACACATCAGCTAGTATGAACGACTGCGCCGCACCAGTATCTCTGAGGATTCTAACTGGACGCTGAGACGCTTCGTCATCTGCTATAGAAACAAACCCCTCAAAAATGAACGGTTCATAACTGTGATCTGGGACAGGGACTTTCAAACCACATTCACTATGAGGCCTCTGTCTTGATTCCGGCCCCACAACCGTACGAATCAGCCCAACACCCGTTGGCGGCCTGGCGTGCTGAGGCATCCCCGGTTTGCGTTTTAGCAGAAAGCAATCATTAACCATATGTCCCACCTTATGACAATAGAAACAGTGACGCACATCTTTTTGGCGTGCTGGATGTACTGCTGGTCGACTAGGACTAAAAGTTAGCAACTCCGCAGCCCTGCTCTCCGTACGAGCCGAAAACACGCTCTTATGCGTCAACACAAACTCGTCTGCCAATACAGACGCTTCCGACAGTGAGGATACTTTCTGTTCGTTCAGATAAACTACAATGCGTTCCGGTAAGCAATTTTTAAACTCTTCTAACAAGATTAACTCCCGTAGAGAGTTAAAATCAGTTACTTTACTAGCACTGTGCCATTTGTCAAACAGATTTCCTTTGTCTCTAGCAAACTCCACATAAGTCTGAGTAGGAGACTTTTTATGAGACCTAAATCTCTGTCGATATGCCTCAGGAACAAGCTCATAGGCACGAAGAACAGTAGCTTTGACCACTTCATAATTCAAACTGTCTTCAAGAGGTAGCGCTGCCAGAACCTCTTGGGCTTTACCTGTTAGTTTACACTGAAGTAATAGGCACCATACCTCTTCGGGCCATTTCAATGCTACCGCTATACGTTCAAACACACTGAAATAGGAATCAACCTCTGACTCCCTGAACACAGGTACCAAGGTGATCTGCCTACTAATATCAAACGTAGCAGATGACACAGCTGGTGAGGATGGCTCACTAGCAGGCATAGTATGAGCAGAGACTAACCTCGCTGTTTCTGCCTCTAGTTCCATTTTACGCATCTCCAGTTCTTGATCAAGCCTACGCGTCTCCAGTTCCATCTTACGCATCTCCAGTTCCTGATCAAGCCTACGCGTTTCCAGCTTGTCTAGCCTGATTTGTGCCCGCTCTTCCGCCTCCATTTGGAGCCGCGTCAAGCGGACATCCATCCTGGCATCACTGTCAGTCAGTGGGGAGAGTGGGTCATAACGGGGCAATGTGGCTGGAGCCTTAGCCTCGTCCTCAGACACTGATGGGCTTACAGGAACAGCCACCACCTCCCCTACAGGAGCAGCAGACTCAGGCGGCGGTAACTCAAGCACTCGCTCGCTCAACAATATTTCTAACACTGCTTTCCTCACTTCGGCTTTCACTAAAACCCTTGATATCGGTACAGAAAAGTGGTCAGCCAAAACCTGTAGATCCACTCTACGGCAATTCTCAAAAACCTCCCACGTAGGGTTTTCCAAAAATGCTTCCAACTCAAAAGTAGCCATCCTACTAGCAACACGAGCCGTCGACTACTGAACACAAAAAAAAACAGGTAGTTACAGCTGCCAAGCTCAACACTGAACCAGACACTTACTAATTTGCATGAGTAGCATGGGATAGATCCCGGACGAACCCCCACTTTATGTTACGAACCCCGTGGCTTTGAACGTCTAGGGTGATGGACATGAGACCCGTAACATAATTCATGTAAATTATAAGTGTGACATGGAACAGTGAGAACAAATATGACACAACAACCATGAACTACCGTCAAACACAAATGGTTTATTTCTGAACACACGGTAACGGTTTGGGAAAAAGGGCTGAGCAGGACCCAAGAAATGAAACAATAGTGTAAAACACCCCTAAACTGATCTTGCCTGCCTCAAGAACCGCTAGGCTACTGCTACCATACAAAAATACAGTGGGTGGTCCGCTCAGGTCTAACTAGTGTTTATAGACAGTTCTTTCTACGGGAAATGTATATGCCCAAGGGCAGCTAGCTCAAACTCCCCTTTTCCCAGAAACACACAATAGTTACCAAACAGAGTAACCAGCAAGTAAATGAGTACTCTAAACACAGGACATCACAGTATCCATTACTCACATACAAAACAGTGGTCTAACAGAATTACCAATCATAGTAACCAGCAACTTAGTGAGTAAACAAAAACAGGACACCACCGTGTCCATACTCACATACGGAAATAGTCTCTCTCTCTCACAACTAACACAAGTGACTGGTTTTTTATACAATGGGATGTGTGATTGAAAAAAACGAGTAACAGGTGGTGCAATGCACAGGAATGTTCACTGATTGGTCCAATCAGCAGACACCTCAACGACCACCAATCAGGAACATACAGGACACCTGTGATTAGGGCAGAAGGAGAGAAACACACAAAAACACAGGATACCTGTATCCGTAACAGTAGTGTAGTAGTATTGTAATAGTAGTGTAATAGTAGGGTAGTAGTATTGTAGTAGTAGTGTAGTAGTAGTGTCGTTGTATTGCAATAGTAGTGTAGCAGTGTGGTAGTATTGTAATAGTAGTGTAGTAGTGTGGTGGTAGTGTAGTAAGGTATTAGTAGTGTAGTAGTGTTGTCGTAGTGTAATAGTAGTGTAGTAGTATTGTAATAGTCGTGTAGCAGTGTGGTAGTATTGTAATAGTAGTGTAGTAGTATTGTAATAGTAGTGTAGTAGTATTGTAATAGTCGTGTAGTATAAAGTACTACAGAGAGATTCATCTAGGGAAGTCAGAAGATGTCTGACAGACTGAAGAAGATAAAGATTACTGAGACAGAGTGATCCAGGAGTTTAAAAACACTCACATCCTGATTGTTAACAAACAGGCGTGAGAGAGAAACTGTACCTAACTGTCACGAGTGGTTCCTTTGCACGCATCCTGATCCTGCACACATGTTAGGCAGATACAGAGACAAACAGGAGACTCTCTGTAAACACAGTGACAGTCCATTGTTTGCCCAAGCCATAAAGAAGACACTGATGTGTGCTCTGAGAGGTGTGGCCATGGTTGGTTTATTTATTTCAGAACTGGTTTGGCTGATGGTCAGGAGGAGGGAGATCAATGCCAAACCGCAAGAAGAAGATGAAACACTTATGCAAGATTATACAGCCTGTCATCTTGTGTCCGTATCTATTTACCTATAATATTCAAGGTATCTACCTGAAGATGACCGTCTCTCTTATAATAATGTATGGTATCTGTTTACCTATTCAAGGTATCTATCTGAGTGTCATGGTGATTTCCAAAACAATGACATTGATACTGGTTACGCAGAATTTGATTCAGTGATTCAACATTGTGTTACACCCAAAGGCATTTATTTTATAGACAATGAAAATAGGTAGTACATTGAGCATAGAGTTTGTACTGCTTGGTGACCTAAACTGGGATATGCTTAACACCCCGGCCGTCCTACAATCTAAACTAGATGCCCTCAATCTCACACAAAAATTCAAGGAACCTACCAGGTACAACCATAAATCCGTAAACATGGGCACCCTCATAGATATCATCCTGACTAATTTACCCTCTAAATACACCTCTGCTGTCTTCAACCAGGATCTCAGCGATCACTGCCTCATTGCCTGCGTCCGTAATGGGTCCGCGGTCAAACGACCACCCCTCATCACTGTCAAATGCTCCCTAAAACACTTCAGCGAGCAGGCCTTTCTAATTGACCTGGCCCGGGTCTCCTGGATGGATATTGACCTCATTCCGTCAGTAGAGGATGCCTGGATGTTCTTCAAAAGTGCTTTCCTCTCCATCTTAAATAAGCATGCCCCATTCAAAAAATTCAGAACTAAGAACAGATATAGCCCCTGGTTCACCCCAGACTTGACTGCCCTTGACCAGCACAAAAACATCCTGTGGCGTACTGCATTAGCATCGAACAGCCCCCGCGATATGCAACTTTTCAGGGAAGTCAGGAACCAATATACACAAGCAGTTAGGAAAGCAAAGGCTTGCTTTTTCAAACAGACATTTACATCCTGTTGCACTAACTCCAAAAAGTTTTGGGATACTGTAAAGTCCATGGAGGATAAGAGCACCTCCTCCCAGCTACCCACTACACTGAGGCTAGGAAACACTGTCACCACCGATAAATCTACGATAATCGAGAATTTCAATAAGCATTTTGCTACGGCTGGCCATGCTTTCCACCTGGCTACCCCTACCCCGGCCACCAGCTCTGCACCCTCCGCTGCAACTTGCCCATGCCCCCCCCCCGCTTCTCCTTCACCCAAATTCAGATAGCTGATGTCCTGAAAGAGCTGCTAAATCTGGACCCCTACAAATCAGCTGGGCTAGACAATCTGGACCCTTTCTTTCTGAAATTAGCCGCCGAAATTGTCGCAACCCCTATTACTAGCCTGTTCAATCTCTCTTTCGTATCGTCTGAGATCCCCAGAGATTGGAAAGCTGCCACGGTCATCCCCCTCTTCAAAGGGGGTGACACTCTAGATCCAAACTGTTACAGATCTATACCCATCCTGCCCTGCCTTTCGAAAGTATTTGAAAGCCAAGTTAACAAACAGATCACCGACCATTTCGAATCCCACCATACCTTCTCCGCTATGCAATCTGGTTTCTGAGCTGGTCATGGGTGCACCTCAGCCACGCTCAAGGTCCTAAACGATATTATAACCGCAATCGATAAAAGACAGTACTGTGCAGCCGTCTTCATCGACCTGGCCAAGGCTTTTGACTCTGTCAACCACCGCATTCTTATTGGCAGACTACATAGCCATAGTTTCTCAAATGACTGCCTCGCCTGGTTCACCAACTACTTCTCAGATAGAGTTCAATGTGTCAAATCGGAGTGCCTGTTGTCTGGACCTCTGGCAGTCTCTATGGAGGTGCCACATGGTTCAATTCTCGGGCCGACTCTATTCTCTGTGTATATCAATGATGTCGCTCTTGCTGCTGGTGACTCTAAGATCCACCTCTACGCAGACGACACCATTTTGTATACATCTGGCCCTTCATTGGACACTGTGTTAACAAACCTCTAAATGAGCTTCAATGCCATACAACACTCCTTCCGTGGCCTCCAACTGCTCTTAAACACTAGTAAAACTAAATGCATGCTCTTCAATCGAACGCTGCTTGCACCCGCCCGCCCGACTAGAATCACTACTCTCGGCGGGTCTGATTTAGAATATGTGGACAACTACAAATACCTAGGTAACTGGTTAGACTGTAAACTCTCCTCCCAGACTCACATTAAGCATCTCCAATCCAAAGTTAAATCTAGAATCGGCTTCCTATTTCGCAACAAAGCCTCCTTCACTCATGCTGCTAAACATGCCCTCGTAAAACTGACTATCCTACCGATCCTTGACTTCGGCAATGTCATTTACAAAATAGCTTCCAACACTCTACTCAGCAAATTGGATGTGGTCTATCACAGTGCCATCCGTTTTGTCACCAAAGCCCCATATACTACCCACCATTGTGACCTGTACGCTCTCGTTGGCTGGCCCTCACTACATATTCATCGCCAAACCCACTGGCTCCAGGTAATCTATAAATCACTTCTAGGCAAATCCCCGCCTTATCTTAGATCATTGGTCACCATAGCAACACCCACCCATAGTATGCGTTCCAGCAGGTATATCTCACTGGTCATCCCCAAAGCCAACACCTCCTTTGGCCGCCATTCCTTCCAGTTCTCTGCTGCAAATGACTGGAACGAACTGCAAAACTCTCTGAAGCTGGAGACACTTATCTCCCTCACTAACTTTAAGCATCAGTTGTCAGAGCAGCTTACCAATTACTGCACCTGTACACAGCCCATCTGTAATTAGCCCACCCAACTACCTCATCCCCATATTGTTATTTACATTGTTATTTATTTTGCTCATTTGCACCCCAGTATCTCTATTTGCACATCATCTTCTGCACATCTATCATTCCAGTGTTAATACTAAATTGTAATTATTTTGCACTATGGCCTATTTATTGCCTTACCTCCATAACTTACTACATTTGCACACACTGTATATAGATTTTCTATTGTGTTATTGACCTTATGTTTTGTTTACCCCATATGTAACTCTGTGTTGTTGTTGTTTTTATCGCACTGCTTTGCTTTATCTTGGCCAGGTCGCAGTTGTAAATGAGAACTTTGTTCTCAACTGGCTTACCTGGTTAAATAAGAAGAATAATACAAAATTTTTATAGTAGTAGTAGTAGTAGTAGTAGTAGTACTAGTAGTAGTAGTAGTAGTAGTAGTAGTAGTAGTAGTAGCAGTAGCAGTAGCAGTAGCAGTAAAAGCAGTCTTGTACCACTGTCACTACACAGACATGTCTTAATTAGATTAATCCACAATTGAATTATACTGACTAACTGCATTGTCAATTAGCTGCCATTCTACTGCATAACATTGACATTAATTGATGCTATCCCATCAGTCTTTGCATGATAATTACCACTTCTTCCCAATGTGGTCACAGTCAGTGACTTAGCATCCTGTGACCGAATTACACAAGCATGCCATCCAGACCTGGGTTTAAATAGTATTTAATATCTTTAAAATACATTAGCCTGCCTTGAGTGTCAGGCGGCCGGGGTTTGCATTTTGGAAACCTTTGACTTTTCCATTGGGCAAGCTCACAGGCAAGTTTAATCAAGCACAGCGAAACGATTTGAAATAGTATTTGAACCCAGGTCTGATGCCATGTAATGCAGTTACCCAGGCAGGAAGGCTCCAGTACCAATCCTTATTAATGCTATATATGGCCTCCACTTATGAGTTAGTCAACATTAACATGAAAGACATCATGGTCAAGACTTGGGAGAGGGCCAATAGAAGGAAACCAGATAGCGAGAGTCATATTAATAGTGTTACTAGACCAGGGCTATTTGACTGCACCCTCATGTTATTCAGTCATTATATTTCTATGGGGAGGGCTATAGGTCTGTTACCATAACAACAGTGACAAAAGGTTTGTCATGTTGTAACAAATGTTACACATTTAGGCCAGTGAACTATCAAGTTAGTTGAGGCAGCCCAGTAGGGAGAGAGGAAAGATGATGTAATTTTCCAACTGTCTGGTCTATGATCTTATGTTTAATATTTTAATGGACTGCACTGTCAAATGCTGTATCTTTAAGTACTGGGGGCTGATGGGAGAAAATAGGGGTCAAAAAATGCCTGTCTGTTCTCACTGGGGGAGGAGAGAGAGTAATGTCTCGTTCAAAACAACTCGGAACTGGGAAATCTCTGACTTCAGTTCAAAACTACTTGGAACTGGGAAAAAAAACAAGTAAAAAAAAAGATTTGAACAGTCATCCAACTTGAAATTCCAACTCGACCTGAGTTCCCAGATGTTTTGAACGCGGCATCTGTGTGTGACCTAGTTTCACAAGGTTCTAGAGAATGTAATCTGTAAAGTGTTTTTTTAGATCTCTAGTAGGGATCTGGAATAAGTGTAAAGCCTACCCGTTCCGGCGTGCCTCTCCAAACAGTGGATTGGTTGATTTATTAAACAGTGGATTGATTGATTGATTGATTGGTTATAGGCTTCTAAACGGAGTTGTTGAACAATTGAAAGCAACCGGTTCTAAGGGGGATCACCTACCTCATGGTGAGATCAATATTTTTTCCTTGCTATTTTTGTTGCCACGTCGATATTTCTTTACTTTTTAAGGCTGGTGAATTTTTTTTTCTTCTTCTATGGTATAATGGCGTTCGCGACAATTGGATGTGCATTACTGCCACCTACTGTACCGGTGAATAATAAGGATCCCAAAAAGGAAAACATTTGGGTAAAAAGAATCAAAATATCATACAAACTATCAAAAAATAAATTACCTAAACAAAATCAACCTGCTTTTCTGTAAAAACCTAATTCTAATCCTGTGAGGGTGGGAGATTTCCTAGCGACAATAGTCCTTGCAGTGTTTCTGTCGGGATGTCTTGGAGCCCCCAAAAACTTCTCAGCTGCAGATATAATGATATCCAGCTTCTTGGACTTCATAGACACTTGTGCTGTACAATTAATCACTGTGGCTATAAATGCCACAAAATCCACCTTCTTCACAATGATTGTATCCAGATCAGTCGATTGACTTAAAACACTAGCAACTGGTTGCAATGCATCCACCGCCATATCTTCAACACTGTTGCCTCTTGCCCCTTCGTCTCTCTTCACCACCTCCACATAGGAGATCCGCTGCACAGCCCTGATCCTTGAAACCTCAACCTCCTTCACCCTAACAGGGCACACAAGGAAGTTCGGAGTACGATCCCCACCACAGTTGCAACATTTTCCATTCACAGATTCTTCAAGATCATACTTTTCCCGTCTGCAAACATTTGACACGTGACCCTATCCTTTACAATTCCCGCACTGTAGTGGTTTGGACACAAATGCTCTCACCGCGTACCTCACACATCCAAGCTTCACATGTTCAGGTAGAGTCTCCTCAAACAACAATATTATCGACAGGCTTTTCTCCTTCCTTCCATTTACCATACGGGTCAGGTGATGTGCACTGACCACTAAGGTACGGGTCAGGTGACGTGCACTGACCACTAAGGTACGGGTCAGGTGACGTGCACTGACCACTAAGGTACGGGTCAGGTGACGTGCACTGACCACTAAGGTACTAGCCATCTAAACACAGCAAAAAAAGAAACGTCCTCTCACTGTCAACTGCGTTTATTTTCAGCAAACTTAACATGTGTAAATAGTTGTATGAACATAACAAGATTCAACAACTGAGACATAAACTGAACAAGTTCCACAGACATGTGACTAACAGAAATTGAATAATGTGTCCCTGAACAAAGGGGGGGTCAAAATCATAAGTAACAGTCAGTATCTGGTGTGGCCACCAGCTGCATTAAGTACCGCAGTGCATCTCCTCCTCATGGACTGCACCAGATTTGCCAGTTCTTGCTGTGAGATGTTACCCCACTCTTCCACCAAGGCACCTGCAAGTTCCCGGACATTTCTGGGGGGAATGGCCCTAGCCCTCACCCTCCGATCCAACAGGTCCCAGATGTGCTCAATGGGATTGAGATCCGGGATCTTCGCTGGCCATGGCAGAACACTGACATTCCTGTCTTGCAGGAAATCACGCACAGAACGAGCAGTATGGCTGGTGGCATTGTCATGCTGGAGGGTCATGTCAGGATGAGCCTGCAGGAAGGGTACCACATGAGGGAGGATGATGTCTTCCCTGTAACGCACAGCGTTGAGATTGCTTGCAATGACAACAAGCTCAGTCCGATGATGCTGTGACACACCGCCACAGACCATGACGGACCCTCCACTTCCAAATCGATCCCGCTCCAGAGTACAGGCCTCGGTGTAACGCTCATTCCTTCGACGATAAGCGCGAATCCGACCATCACCCCTGGTGAGACAAAACCGCGACTCGTCAGTGAAGAGCACTTTTTGCCGGTCCTGTCTGGTCCAGCGACGGTGGGTTTGTGCCCATAGGCGACGTTGTTGCCGGTGATGTCTGGTGAGGACCTGCCTTACAACAGGCCTACAAGCCCTCAGTCCAGCCTTTCTCAGCCTATTGCGGACAGTCTGAGCACTGATGGAGGGATTGTGCGTTCCTGGTGTAACTCTGGCAATTGTTGTTGCCATCCTGTACCTGTCCCGCAGGTGTGATGTTTGGATGAACCGATCCTGTGCGCAGGTGTTGTTACACGTGGTCTGCCACTGCAAGGACGATCAGCTGTCCTTCCTGTCTCCCTGTAGCGCTGTCTTAGGCGTCTCACAGTACGGACATTGCAATTTATTGCCCTGGCCGCATCATGCCTCATGCCTCCTTGCAGCATGCCTAAGGCACATTCATGCAGATGAGCAGGGACCCTGGGCATCTTTCTTTTGGTGTTTTTCAGAGTCAGTAGAAAGGCCTCTTTAGTGTCCTAAGTTTTCATAACTGTGACCTTAATTGCCTACCGTCTGTAAGCTGTTAGTGTCTTAACGACCGTTCCATAGGTGCATGTTCATTAATTGTTTATGGTTCATTGAACAAGCATGGGAAACAGTGTTTAAACCCTTTACAATGAAGATCTGTGAAGTTATTTTGATTTTTACGAGTTATCTTTGAAAGACAGGGTCCCTAAAAAGGGAGTTTCTTTTTTTGCTGAGTTTATATCCAACGAGACCCCAGCTATAACTCCTTTGGCAGGCGCCCAGCTCTGTAGATCAATTCAGGTTACCTACATTTACATTTACATTTACATTTAAGTCATTTAGCAGACACTCTTATCCAGAGCGACTTACAAATTGGTGCATTCAACTTAGGATAGCCAGTGGGACAACCACCACTGGGGGAGGGGGGGGTGTAGAAGGATTACTGTTAGACTATTCCAGGTATTCCTTAAAGAGGTAGGGTTTCAAGTGTCTCCGTAAGGTGGTCAGTGACTCCGCTGTCCTGGCGTCTTGGGGGAGCTTGTTCCACCATTGGGGTGCCAGAGCAGCGAATAGCTTTGACTGGGCTGAGCGGGAACTGTGCTTCCGTAGAGGTAGGGGGGCTAGCAGGCCAGCGGTGGATGAACGTAGTGCCCTCGTTTGGGTGTAGGGTCTGATCAGAGCCTGAAGGTAAGGAGGTGCCGTTCCCCTCACAGCTCCATAGGCAAGCACCATGGTTTTGTAGTAGATGCGAGCTTCAACTGGAAGCCAGTGGAGTGTGCGGAGGAGCGGGGTGACATGAGAGAACTTGGGAAGGTTGAACACCAGACGGGCTTCAGCGTTCTGGATAAGTTTTCCCAAATGAATCTCCTTGTCCAGAAAACACAGTCCAATAAGAAATGCATTATGGGACCGGTCCTTGTCTTCTACTATTTATTTATACTCATTTTGTTCCATTATTTGATTTAATTATTTTCCGGTCATTATCACACACTTCACTTGCCGCACTTTCAGATTCTAGCACAGTCGCCATTTCCTCTCGCTATCATCAACTGTCGGCTGGTGAAGTTTGCCTTTTTGTTGGATTTTAAATGACCGAGTTTGGCGCTCTTGCCACCCTGTCACAGACGGATCAGATTTCCTGAATAGTTTTGCATTATACTATTGCTGTGTGACTATTTTGTTCCAATTAGGCACATAAGGTGTACAAGTAAATAACAAAGGTTTCAGTTTCTCTATAGTTATTTTCAGTTCTCTATAGTTTGGACCTGTTTAATGTAGGTAGCATTTTATTGCTGTGAATCAGAGTGAAAGTTACACTATAACATGCAGGTCTGTGAGGAGGTCAAATATCACCCTTCAACTGATTTCGTCTGGTGACCTTCCAACATTATGACATTGACAGGTCAAACTACCCATCCAGTAGGGTAGTAGAGCCGGATGCTCCCATAGGGAATGGATAGAGGCTTTGCTATAGGTATTGTATGAAGAAGTCATATCTCTTTAAACTGTATGATTTTTTAAGTTGAAGATAACATTCTCATTTCTCTCTCCCTCCCTCTCCCCCTCTCCCTCTCCCTCCCTCCCCTCCTCCCTCCCTCCCTCCCTCCCTCTCCCTCTCTCCTCCCTCCCTCTCCCTCTCTCCCTCCCTCCCTCTCCCTCTCTCCCTCCCTCCCTCTCCCTCTCTCTCGTTCGTACCTCAGGGGGACTCTTCTTTTGTGGTGATGACCAATTACATTATAACCAAAGGTCAGAAAGTTGAAAAATGTTCTGAGGTAAGTCAACTCCTCTCAAAAGTCTTTCTTGATTCTTTCCCATATTAATACTTTTACCTAAATAAAAGCAAAAACAGGCTTTTAGAAATGTTCGCAAATGTATAAAAAATTACAAACGGAACTATGACATTTGCATAAGTATTCAGACCCTTTACTCAGTACTTTGTTGAAGCGCCTTTGGCAGCGATTACAGCCTCAAGTCTTCTTGGGTATGACGCTACAAGCTTGACACACCTGTATTTGGGGAGTTTCTCCCATTCTTCTCTGCAGATCCTCTCAAGCTCTGTCAGGTTGGATGGGGAGCGTCGCTGCAGAGCTATTTTCAGTTCTCTCCAGAGATGTTCGATCGGGTTCAAGTCCGGGCTCTGGCTGGGCCACTCAAGGACATTCAGAGACTTGTCCCGAAGCCACTCCTACGTTGTCTTGGCTGTGTGCTTAGGGTCGTTGTCCTGTTGGAAAGTGAACCTTCACCCCAGTCTGAGGTCCTGAGCGCTCTGGAGCAGGTTTTCATCAAGGATCTCTCTGTACTTTGCTCCGTTCATCTTTCCCACAATCCTGACTAGTCTCCCAGTCCCTGCCGCTGAAAAACATCCCCACAGCATGATGCTGCCACCACCATGCTTCACCGTAGGGATGGTGCCAGGTTTCCTCCAGATGTGACGCTTGGCATTCAAGCAAAAGAGTTCAACCTTGGTTTCATCAGACCAGAGAATCTTGTTTCTCATGGTCTGAGAGTCTTTTAGGTGCCTTTTGGCAAACTCCAAGCGGGCTGTCATGTGCCTTTTACTGAGGAGTTGCTTCCATCTGGCCACTCTACCATAAAGGCCTGATTGGTGGAGTGCTGCAGAGATGGTTGTCCTTCTGGAAGGTTCTCCCATCTCCAGAGAGGAACTCTAGAGCGCTGTCAGAGTGACCATCGGGTTCTTGCTAACCTCCCTGACCAAGGCCCTTCTCCCCCGATTGCTCAATTTGGCCAGGCGGCCAGCTCTAGGAAGAGTCTTGGTGGTTCCAAACTTCTTCCGTTTAAGAATGATGGAGGCCACTGTGTTCTTGGGGACCTTCAATTCTGCAGACATTTTTTGGTAACCTTCCCCAGATCTGTGCCTAGACACAATCCTGTCTCAGAGCTCTGCGGACAATTCCTTCAACCTCATGGCTTGGTTTTTGCTCTGACATGCACTGTCAACTGTGGGACCTTATATAGACAGGTGTGTGCCTTTCCAAATCATGTCCAATCAATTGAATTGACCACAGGTGGACTCCAATCAAGTTGTAGAAACATCTCAAGGATCATCAATGGAAACAGGATGCACCTGAGCTCAATTTTGAGTCTCATAGCAAAGGGTCTGAATACTAATGTAAATAAGGTATTTCTGTTTAGATTGTTACTAAATTTGCTTCCCCAAAAAAATAAATTGTTTTGGCTTTGTTATTATGGGGTATTGTGTGTAGATTGATAAGGGAAAAAAATATTTAATCAATTTTAGAATAAGGCTGTAATGTAACAAAATGTGGAAAAAGGGAAGGGGTCTGAATACTTTCCGAATGCACTCACTCCAACTCCTGTGTTTCAGCCCCAAAACTCGAAGAATCGATGCAGCTCCGACTCAGACTGTGAAGGGAGATCAGAACGTACGGGAGATGGTAAAGTCCGGACGGCATGGCAGCGTGACAGTGTGGCACAGTCCCCTTCACTAACTCAGTGTTTCTCAATCCCTGGTCTGTGGACCAGCGCCGGTCCATGGCACATTGCCGGCCGGTCCCTGAGATAGTTAACTGACACTAATATGGTCAGTTCTACAGTGCTAGTTTTGAATGTAAGTGGGCCCCCAAGGAGGAGAAACCATAGCTTGTCGGCCCCTGGTATGAAAAAGGTTGAGAAACACTGCGACTAACTAACCCTCCTAACTACCTTGCGCATTGGCAAATCTAGCCATCCATTACTACCATTACCCCTCCCTACCTGACTACTCACACTAGCCATCGTCTCTGTGACTATGTTATAAAGGATATACAACGAGGGGCTGGGAGTTCTGTGGAAATAATGAGCCCTTCGTTGTCTAACCCTTTACTTTCTGAAAGTATTACTATATGTAGGATTCTCACTAAACATGTTTTCAGCCACCAGTGTCTCTGTACTGATAACCAAAATTAAATGTTGTTTATCAGAAATTAAAATAGGCACGTGACTTCACTTGTCAGAGAGCAAAAACCTTTAAAAGGTGTTTGAGTGTCCAGTTGTGTGATCGTTGTTTTAGGATTAAGGTTGTTTTCTCGTTGGTAAACTTTCTCAGCGGTTCGTTGGTCAGTTTCAGTTCACAATCCTGTGACAAAAGAGGATGGGAGGAAGAGACAGATGATCCTGTCCCTTTTTGGAGGAGAGTATTTAAAGGGTGGACTGTGGGAAAGTCAGAGCAGTCTATTGTGTGTATACTGTAGTTTAGGGCTTCTATGAGCTAATGTACAATATGCTAGTCACACAAAATTGGCTAAAAACAAAGCCACTAAGATAAACATTTGGACTAGTCAGGAATTTCCCTGCCCGGAGTAATGCATGCAAGAAGAAAAAGTATAGCAGCCAGATCCAGGATGGTTGAGTGCCTTGGCTTATCATTCTATTAAAGCATGCAAACAGAGTCTTATACAAGTAAACCGCCCGCACACACATATTATGCATACATGCACACATCCGTTAACTCACAGACAAATGCAACAGACATAAGCCATAAGCACACAGTCAGAGACACAGGCACACAGTTGAAGATACAAGCACGCAGTCAACGACACAGGCACACAGTCAGAGACACAGGCACGCAGTCAGAGACACAGGCAGAGACACAGGCACACAGTCAGAGACACAGTCAGAGACACAGGCACACAGTCAGAGACACAGGCACACAGTCAGAGACACAGTCAGAGACACAGCCAGAGACACAGGCACACAGTCGAAGACACAGTCAAAGACACAGGCACACAGTCGAAGACACAGTCAGAGACACAGGCACACAGTCAGAGACACAGCCAGAGACACAGGCACACAGTCAAAGACACAGGCACACAGTCAACGACACAGGCAGACAGTCAGAGACACAGGCACACAGTCGAAGACACAGGCACACAGTTGAAGACACAGTCGAAGACACAGACACACAGTCGAAGACACAGTCGAAGACACAGTCAGAGACACAGTCAGAGACACAGTCAGAGACACAGGCACACAGTCAAAGACACAGTCGAAGACACAGTCAGAGACACAGTCGAAGACACAGTCAGAGACACAGTCAGAGACACAGTCAGAGACACAGTCACACAGTCAGAGACACAGTCACACAGTCAGAGACACAGTCGAAGACACAGTCAGAGACACAGGCACACAGTCAGAGACACAGGCACACAGTCAGAGACACAGTCGGAGACACAGTCAGAGACACAGGCACACAGTCAGCGACACAAGCACACAGTCAGAGACACAGTCAGAGACACAGGCACACAGTCAGAGACACAGTCAGAGACACAGGCACACAGTCAACGACACAGGCACACAGTCAGAGACACAGTCAGAGACACAGCCAGAGACACAGGCACACAGTCAAAGACACAGGCACACAGTCAGAGACACAGTCAGAGACACAGGCACACAGTCAAAGACACAGGCACACAGTCAGAGACACAGTCAGAGACAGGCACACAGTCGAAGACACAGTCAGAGACACAGTCGAAGACACAGTCAGAGACACAGTCACACAGTCAGAGACACAGTCAGAGACAGGCAGACAAATAGTAGAGTAGTAACAGCAGATCTAATAATAATCATAATCATAATAATCATAATCATAATAATCATAATAATCATAATCCTAATAATCATAATCCTAGTTATTCTAAGCCTACATATCATAGGCAGTTGAAAGGGTTGGTTGTGTATTTTGGTTACACCCAAGCCTTGTCAACCTCTCAGAACCACATCAGCCCTTTCAGCTTCAATCAGAAAGCTGTTGGCCTCTGCTTTAGATCTGTTGGCGTCACCACCACCGTGTTGACTTGGGGCATCTATATATCCTTGTATCCTTGAGAAGGATGTGCTGGTTAATGGTTAGACTGTGGTTGAGACTAGAGGCAAGCAAGCGAAACAGAATGTGTTGTTAAAGCCCTCAGGGTGAACCGGTCTCATGATCATGTCCTGTGGTGTGGTTCACTTTACTGTGGATATTTTACACACTTCTCTGCCAATCCAGCTAGGGCCAGAGAGGCAGGACCAGAGAGACAGGACCAGAGAGACAGGACCAGAGAGACAGGGCCAGAGAGTCAGGGCCAGAGAGACAGGGCCAGAGAGTCAGGGCCAGAGAGACAGGACCAGAGAGACAGGACCAGAGAGACAGGACCGGGAGAGACAGGACCGGGAGAGACAGGACCGGGAGAGACATGACAGGGAGAGACGGGGCCAGAGAGACGGGGTCAGAGAGGCGGGGCCAGGGAGACGGGGCCAGGGAGACAGGGCCAGAGAGGCGGGGCCAGAGAGAAGGGGCCAGGGAGACGGGGCCAGGGAAACGGGAAACGGGAAACGGGGCCAGGGAGACGGGGCCAGGGAGACGGGGCCAGAGAGACGGGGCCAGGGAGATAGGACCAGGGAGACAGGACCAGACACAGATAATAGCCATGCTTATTATGCAGAAAGAAATCATACTTACAGTCTAAGATCAGCGAGAGATGAAAGAGATACATCAGCACTCTCAGTCCACTTCATGTTTTGTTTCCTTGCCACGACACCTCTTGAGTATTGCGATACTGGTATCGTGACAACACTAATCTTTGGGCTCATAGTTGTTACTCCATGTTGAAAAGCTATATCCCTCATATGTCTTTTCTCCATCTCTCTGTCTCACTGCTCCCCTCCACCCCCCACCCCAAGGACATACGACGGGGAAGTGTTTGGTGGACACAACTAAGATGTGTGAAGTGCTAGCCTGGTGCCCTGTGGAAGATGACAGCACCATCCCAGAGTATGTAAGATCACTGACAATTATGTTAACACTACAGGTATAATGTTTTATTACTCGTTAGAAGTTCTATGTACTGAATGGTACTGAACAACTTTTAACTGTACCGAGTGATTTGTAGGCTGATGAAATGAAAAGGGTCTCTACCAATTTCTTGTTATGACCTCTCTGTGTGTCTCTGTGTGTTTGATGTGTTTATGCTTTGTTGGTCTTTGTTTCATATGTTCTACTGTTTTCTGTGCAGTCCAGCGCTGTTGATGTCGGCAGAGAACTACACACTGTTTATCAAAAACTCAATCAGCTTTCCAGCCTATGGTGTTACGAGGTGAGACCCCTGTTTGATACACAATGTACATCCTTTCATCAACGCCTATTGAAAATGAGGAGAGTAACCACGGTTCCAGTCTGTAACACTCATAAAAAGCATCAAATAGTTGCTTCTTCTCCTGAGATCATTAGTATTTGCACATGAGATAAACTGTGCTGGACACAGGTGGTGTCTGTCTGTCTGGACCTACACGATTCTGCCAAACAATATAGAGCAAAATAACCATGCCATAGAATTACCATAGCAACAACATGAGGACATCTCTCCCCTCCTGCTTCCCTGGGAGCGAGCTCAGGTCAGGTCAGAGGCAGGTCATCCAGGAACTCCCAGACAGCGAGCTGAGGTCAGGTCAGAGGCAGGTCATCCAGTAACTCCCAGACAGCGAGCTCAGGTCAGGTCAGTGGCAGGTCATCCAGGAACTCCCAGACAGCGAGCTCAGGTCAGGTCAGTGGCAGGTCATCCAGTAACTCCCTGACAGCGAGCTCAGGTCAGGTCAGAGGCAGGTCATCCAGTAACTCCCAGACAGCGAGCTCAGGTCAGGTCAGTGACAGGTCATCCAGGAACTCCCAGACAGCGAGCTCAGGTCAGGTCAGTGGCAGGTCATCCAGTAACTCCCTGACAGCGAGCTCAGGTAATCCTGTAACTCTCCTAGGATCATGAGAGGCAACATAAGTCAACATGAGAAGAGCCAGATTCTACACGTTAACATGAGAAGAGCCAGATTCTATAGATTAACATGAGAAGAGCCAGATTCTATAGATTAACATGAGAAGAGCCAGATTCTATAGATTAACATGAGAAGAGCCAGATTCTATAAATTAACATGAGAAGAGCCAGGTTCTATAGATTAACATCATATAGAGATATACACTGGGGGAAAAATGGTTGAATCAATGTTGTTTCCAAGTTAATTTGTGGAATTTATTTCCTTCTTAATGTGTTTGAGCCAATCAGTTTGTGTTGTGACAAGGTAGGGGTGGTATACAGAAGATAGCCCTATTTGGTAAAAGACCAAGTCCATATTATGGCAAGAACAGCTCAAATAAGAAAAGAGAAACGACAGTCCATCATTACTTTAAGACATGAAGGTCAGTCAATCCGGAACATTTCAAGAACTTTTAAAGTTTCTTCAAGTGCATTCGCAAAAACCATCAAGCGCTATGATGAAACTGGCTCTCATGAGGACCGCCACAGGAAAGGAAGACCCAGAGTTACCTCTGCTCCAGAGGATAAGTTCATTAGAGTTACCAGCCTCAGAAATTGCAGCCCAAATAAATGCTTCACATGTCACGCCCTGGCTCTGGGGACTCTTAAATGTTGAGCCAGGGTGTGGATTTTTCCTTGTTTAGTTTTCTAGGTTTGTCGTTCTAGATCGTGTATTTCTATGTTGGCCAGGGTGGTTCCCAATCAGAGACAGCAGTAGCTCGTTGTCTCTGATTGGGGACCATACTTAGGCAGCCTGTTGGCATGTTACGTTGTGGGATCTTGATCCGGAAGGTTTGTGTTATTTAACCTAGGACTTCACGTATCGTTTGTTGTTTTTGTTCGTGAGGGTACTTAATAAAGTATGTACGCCTATCACGCTGCGCCTTGGTCCGCTTCATCTATCGACGATCGTGACAGAAGATCCCACCACGACTGGATCAAGCAGTGTGAAGAGGAGAGAGGATGGACTTGGGAGGAGAAGAGTGAGAGTCTGGCGAGAGCCATGGAGGCCATGTTCACGGGGGAGAGACAAGCCCCCAACATTTTTAGGGGGGGGCTCACACCGTGGACGACGAGGCAGCAGGAGGCCGCGATAGAGCGGTTCAGCAGGTTAGCAGAGGAGGCCGCCAGGTTACGGGGGGCACTGGTCACGAGGGAGAAGGAGAGTGTGGAGGCACGGCGAGAGGAACTGGTTAGGCAGCAGAGGGAGCGGAGGTTTATGAGGAAACCCAGTCCCGCTCCTCGCACCAAGCAAGTGGTGTGTGTCACCAGTCCGGTCCGGCCCGTTCCTGATTCCCGCACAAGGCCAGTGGTGTGTGTTCCCAGTACGGTCAGGCCCGTTCCTGCTCCCCGCACTAAGCCTGTGGTGCGCGTCACCAGCCCGGTCAGGCCCGTTCCTGCTCCCCGCACCAAGCCAGTGGTGCGCGTCGCCAGCCCGGTCCGGCCTGTTCCTGCTCCCCGCACCAAGCCAATGGTGCACGTCGTCAGCCCGGTCCGGCCCGTTCCTGCTCCCCGCACCAAGCCAGTGGTGCGCGTCGCCAGCCCGGTCCGGCCTGTTCCTGCTCCCTGCACCAAGCTAGTGATGCGCGTCGTCAGCCCGGTCCGGCCCGTTCCTGCTCCCCACACCAAGCCAGTGGTGCGCGTCGTCAGCCCGGTCCGGCCTGATCCTGCTCCCCGCAACAAGCCAGTGGTGCGCGTCGCCAGCCCGGTCTGGCCCGTTCCTGCTCCCCGCACCAAGCCAGTGGTGCGCGTCGTCAGTCCGGCACGGTCCGTGCCTGTTCCACCGGTGCCTGGTCCGGCACCGGTCAGCTGCTCCACGCCGGAGCCAGAGAAATCCGCTCCACCGGTGTTCAGTCCAGCTCCGGCCAGAGGGGCCAGACCAGACCAGGGGCGCAACGGGGGGGTAGAGAGAGTGTGGTGGTTACGCCCGGAGCCAGATCCGCCGCCGAGGCGGAATGCCCACCCGGCCCCTACCCTCTTGTGTTTGGTTGGGGGGGGGGGGGTACTGTCACGTCCTGGCTCTGGGGACTCTTAAATGTTGAGCCAGGGTGTGGATTTTTCCTTGTTTAGTTTTCTAGGTTTGTCGTTCTAGATCGTGTATTTCTATGTTGGCCAGGGTGGTTCCCAATCAGAGACAGCTGTAGCTCGTTGTCTCTGATTGGGGACAATACTTAGGCAGCCTGTTGGCATGTTACGTTGTGGGATCTTGATCCGGAAGGTTTGTGTTATTTAACCTAGGACTTCACGTATCGTTTGTTGTTTTTGTTCGTGAGGGTACTTAATAAAGTATGTACGCCTATCACGCTGCGCCTTGGTCCGCTTCATCTATCGACGATCGTGACATCACAGACACATCTCAACATCAACTTTTCAGAGGAGACTGTGTGAATCAGGCCTTCATGGTCGAATTGCTGCAAAGAAACCACTACTAAAGGACACCAATAAGAAGAAGAGACTTGCTTGGGTCAAAAAACACGAACAATGGACATTAGACCGGTGGAAATCTGTCCTTTGGTCTGATGAGTCCAAAATTGAGACGCAGAACGGATGATCATTCAACCTTTTCCTTGAAATATAATTTTTTGAGATTATTAATGTTACTGTCCCCACTACAACAACAACCAAATACTTAAATAGATGTAATTTTGTCCTCGAAACATTTAATTGAAATACTGTAGATTCCCATTCATTCCTATGGAGGGCTGCTGCTACTGGGGAGTGACAATATGGCTGACCGGTGGCTTCAAAGCCTCTCATTGGCCAATACATAGCATCAGCAATCCAGGGTTTATATTTTATCATTGTCAATACTGCTGCCCCCTCTCTGCTGTGGGGGAGCAGACCACGTAAGAGCAGGTCGGCAGGAGAATACCTAACCTCCTACACCTCATCCACCAGCCTGCACTCTTAGAAAAAAGGGTTCCAAAATGGTTCTGCGGCTGTCCCCATAGGAGAACCCTTTTTGGTTCCAGGTAGAACCCTTTTTGGTTCCAGGTAGAACCCTTTTGGGTTCCAGGTAGAACCCTTTTTGGTTCCAGGTAGAACCCTTTTGGGTTCCAGGTAGAACCATTTTGGGTTCCAGGTAGAACCCTTTTGGGTTCCATGTAGAACCCTCTGTGGAAAGGGCTCTACATGGAACCCAAAAGGTTTTTACCTGGAACCAAAAAAGGGTTCTTCAAAGGGTTCTCCTATGGGGACAGCCGAAGAACGCTTTAAGGTTCTAGATCAGGGGTAGGCAATCGTGGTCCTGGAGTGCCGCAGGCACTTCATGTTTTTTATTTAACCGACCTGGAAGACCAGGTGTGTTGAATTTAGTCAATCACTGAACTGATCAATTATCTCAGTTGGTCAGGTGTGGTGCCTAGTTGGAACAAAATCCTGCGGTACCTGCAGCACTCCAGGAACAGGGTTGCCCACCCCTTTTCTAGATGGCTCCTTTTTTCTAAGAGTGTAGCGACCAGAGACCACCTCTTCAGCCTAGCGACCGTTAGGTAGCCTCAGGCAATGTTTGCTATGTTAGATACATGCGTTACATCACACACATTGTGTATGTAGCTAATGCACTGAATATGGTTTGTGGTATGTGACAGCTAATGTATAAGTAGTGGTTATATAATTACCACATCCATCACATCCCACAACCCTGGCGTTGCAAACGCCATGCTCTACTAACTGAGCTACACTGGACCTTTTTTTTTAAAACAATGATCTCTTCCTGTTCTCTCTCCAGGTCTAACCTCGTAGAAGGTATCGACAATCAGTACGTCAACAGCTGCTTGTACGACCCAAAGAAGTCCCCGCTGTGTCCCATTTTCAGACTGGGTGACTTGGTACAGCTGTCTGGCTTCAACTTCTCCACAATCGCCAGAGTGGTGAGCAACATGCTGTTCTATTCACCAGGGAAGGGGGTTTGCAAGTACCTGTCAGTCTGTGTATGGCTGTGTGTTTTGGTGGTGTTGGTGTTTATTGTGGAGTCATTGATTGATGGTGGTGTTATTGGTAACGAGGTATGATGGTGGTGTTATTGGTAACGAGGTATGATGGTGGTGTTATTGGTAACGAGGTATGATGGTGGTGTTATTGGTAACGAGGTATGATGGTGGTGTTATTGATAACGAGGTATGATGGTGGGGTTATTGGTAACGAGGTATGATGGTGGGGTTATTGGTAACGAGGTATGATAATAATATAATAATAATAATATGCCATTTAGCAGACGCTTTTATCCAAAGCGACTTACAGTCATGTGTGCATACATTTTTACGTATGGGTGGTCCTGGGGATCGAATCCACTACACTGGCGTTACAAGCGCCATGCTCTACCAATTGAGCTACAGAGGACCACAGTGGTGGTGTTATTGGTAATGAGGTATGATGGTGGTGTTATTGGTAACGCGGTATGATGGTTGTGTTATTGGTAATGAGGTATGATGGTGGGGTTATTGGTAATGAGGTATGATGGTGGTGTTATTGGTAACGCGGTATGATGGAGGTGTTATTGGTGACAAGGTATGATGGTGGTGTTATTGGTAATGAGGTATGATGGTGGTGAGTTATAATGGTGGTGTTATTGGTAACGAGGTATGAAAAAAAAATGTATGCACTCACTAACTGTAAGTCGCTCTGGATAAGAGCGTCTGCTGAAGGACTAAAATGTAAATGTAAATTTATGATGGTGGGGTTATTGGTAACGAGGTATGATGGGGGTGTTATTGGTAACGAGGTTTGATGATGGTTGTGTTATTGGTAACAAGGTATGATGGTGGTGTTATTGGTAACGAGGTATGATTGTGGTGTTATTGGTAACGAGGTATGATGGTGGTGTTATTGGTAACAAGGTATGATCTTGGTATTATTGGTAACGAGATATGATGGTGGTGTTATTGGTAAGGAGGTATGGTGGTGGTGTTATTGGTAACAAGGTATGATGATGGTGGTGAGGTACAATAGTGGTGTTATTGGTAACGAGGTATGATGGTGGCTTTATTTGTAACGACAATGATGGTGGTGTTATTGGTAAAAAGGTATGATGGTGGTGTTATTGGTAACGAGGTGTGATGGTGGTGTTATTGGTAACGAGGTATGATGGTGGTGTTATTGGTAACGAGGTGTGATGATAGTGGTGTTATTGGTAAAAAGGTATGATGGTGGTGTTATTGGTAACGAGGTGTGATGGTGGTGTTATTGGTAACGAGGTATGATGGTGGTGTTATTGGTAACGAGGTGTGATGATAGTGGTGTTATTGGTAATGAGGTATGATGGTGGTGTTATTGGTAACGAGGTTTGATGGTGGGGTTATTGGTAACGAGGTATGATGGTGGGGTTATTGGTAATGAGGTATGATGGTGGTGTTATTGGTAACAAGGTATGATGGTGGTGTTATTGGTAACGAGGTGTGATGATAGTGGTGTTATTGGTAATGAGGTATGATGGTGGTGTTATTGGTAACGAGGTTTGATGGTGGGGTTATTGGTAATGAGGTATGATGGTGTTATTGGTAACAAGGTATGATGGTGGTGCTATTGGTTACTAGGTATGCTCTGTCAAAGGTAATTTCTGAGTTAAAGCATAGTGAAACACTGAAATTGCAACTGATTTTAAAAGTGTCCGAAGACACTTTGGTGTTATTGGTACCTCCATTGATAGCCGATGTTGATGGTATCGTGATGTGTGGGGTTAGTGGTATGCTCATTCACTGGATGTATTGATGTTGTTGATGGTATCGTGATGTTTGGGGTTAGTGGTACCCTCATTGACTGGATGTATTGATGTTGTTGATGGTATCGTGATGTTTGGGGTTAGAGGTACCCTCATTGACTGGATGTATTGATGTTGTTGATGGTATCGTGATGTTTGGGGTTAGTGGTACCCTCATTGACTGGATGTATTGACGTTGTTGATGGTATCGTGATGTGTGGGGTTAGTGGTACCCTCATTGACTGAATGTATTGATGTTGTTGATGGTATCGTGATGTGTGGGGTTAATGGTACCCTCATTGACTGGATGTATTGATGTTGTTGATGGTGTAGTGTCCAAAAGACACACCTTTGCTGATCCATGCCGTGATGATAAGGAGTCCGCCGACACTGTACTTTGTTTATAAAGGTTTATTATAACAAAGAGTTTTCAGCATCGAATTTACAGATACCTGCAGATATCTTAAGAACAGCAAGAGCCAAATTCTGTAATTCGCTATTCCTCCCTCCTATTGTTCAAGACATGGTTTTATATCATTTATGACGTAATATGGTGTGATTCTAAAAACCAATCCCTGGCCTTTCCACATCTCTCCCCATATCATTTTCCCATGAACTTTAGTAATGTTTTCCAGATGTTTCAGCAAAGTAGAGTAAAGTTCATCTGTTACCCCATTTTGCAACATCAGCAAAATCCTAGAGCCAAGTTTTCCTCTAACACACTTTTTGCAAAGGTCAGCACATCACAGACTCTAAGACACTACAATGGTATGTGGGGTTAGTGGTACTCTCATTGACTGGATGTATTGATGTTGTTGATGGTATCGTGATGTTTGGGGTTAGTGGTACCCTCATTGACTGGATCTGGATGTATTGATGTTGTTGATGGTACCGTGATGTTTGGGGTTAGTGGTACCCTCATTGACTGTATGTATTGATGTTGTTGATGGTATGTGGGGTTAGTGGTACTCTCATTGACTGGATGTATTGATGTTGTTGATGGTATCGTGATGTGTGGGGTTAGTGGTACCCTCATTGACTGGATGTATTGATGTTGTTGATGGTATCGTGATGTTTGGGGTTAATGGTACCCTCATTGACTGGATGTATTGATGTTGTTGATGGTATCGTGATGTGTGGGGTTAGTGGTACCCTCATTGACTGGATGTATTGACGTTGTTGATGGTATCGTGACGTTTGGGGTTAGTGGTACCCTCATTGGCTGGATGTATTGATTGATCCGACAGGGCGGGGCGATTGGTATCGTCATTGACTGGACCTGTAACCTGGACTATGACCAGTCAGAGTGTAAACCGATCTACTCCTTCCACGGTCTCTATGGAAACCCCCAGGAGACAGACACAGCCAGAGCATCTGTGGGATACAACTTCAGGTACATAAAAACATCTGCCACGTGCGGACTGTATGGTTAGTGCTGCAGACCCTGGCACTAATGTATACCAGAGTTGGCATGGGTTTGAAATCCAACTCACTGCCCTTCTGACTCGCAGTCTCTTCTATATCTCCTGTCCTATCTCAATACATCGTTCTTGTAAGGGCCACTTTTCTTATTGTAAATTGAAAAGCCTTTTCTGAGTTAAAGATTTTAAATAAATGAAAGAAAAACACTTAGAAATGGGGTCGTGTTAGCCATGGGGGTTCCTGTTAACCATGGGGGTCGTTTTTAGCCATGGGGGGTCGTGCTAACCATGCGACTAAGAAAAGTACACTATTCATTATAAATTACATTTGACTCTTCTTAGTTGCAAGGGTCATGTGAAAGGCTGAAGAGAGACATACAGATCTGAACACTAGAAAAGTGTGTCTACATTTTGTTCTTTAAGGTATGCAAAGCATTATATGGAGGACAAGCAGGAGAAAAGGACACTTCTGAAAGTTTTTGGGATTCGATTTGACATCATTGTTCGTTCACTGGTAAGTTCATGAAGTTCATGATTGCGATCCTTGTAATGTTCCAGACAGCGTTTCTGAATTCCTCCTTTACGACTGTAGATTAAAACGTTTAAAGATGGTTGATGTTATTTTTTATTTCCCAGGCCAGAAAATTTGATATCATTCCAACACTAACAGCTATAGGGTCTGGTGTGGGAATCTTTGGAGTGGTGAGTCCTGCAATAATACACATCCTATCTAATACTACACATCCTATCTAATACTACACAACCTATCTAATACTACACATCCTATATGATAATACACAACCTATCTAATACTACACATCCTATCTAATACTACACATCCTATCTAATACTACACATGCTATCTAATACTACACATCCTATCTGATAATACACATCATATCTAATACTACACATCCTATCTGATAATACACATCCTATCTGATAATACACATCCTATCTGATAATACACATCCTATCTGGTAATACACATCATATCTGGTAATACACATCCTATCTGGTAATACACATCCTATCTGGTAATACACATCATATCTGATAATACACATCCTATCTAATACTGCAAAACATACAGAATCTCCAGTAGCCTACTGTATATCTCTTAAACAGCTTGTATAGACTAAACAAATATGTTTATATATTAAATAATGTGACGGAGGAAGTTGTGATCACAGAATGAAATGTATATTATATTTCTATGGTTATGATGCTAATAATTGTGCTGTGTTTCCAAAGGCGACTGTAGTATGTGATCTGATTCTCCTGTATCTACTACCCAAGAGGGAATTCTACAACAACATGAAATTCAAGGTTACTGAATCAATGGAGAAGGTGAGTTTACATCTAACTGTTGCGTAACATCCAGTTTAAACACCAGATGGCAGCAAAGTGGCATTTTATAAATAATTGTGCAGAAAACTGGGCACACGGACCCTCAACAGTACACACAATAATTGACCCAACAGTTCATGTGTTGTCTCTCTAAGAAATACACGGTGTTCATTTGCTCCCACTTTATTTTTAATACGCCGCCACTGCATCCTGTATCAAACGGTTGTCTGGTCCTCATTAAAGCCCCCGTAGATCACTTCACTATTCCCTTTCTGTTTACAAAGCTCTACTACACAAGCTTCCGACTTACCTAACCTCATCGTTGAAAAACATGAGATACCAAACTCGCTCGCAGGGTTGGTTAGCTCTTGAGGTTCATTAGGTCCTCCACCGAATTAGGTAAATCTGCCTTCAGTTTTAATGCCCCCCATTTTTGGAATAACCTGCAGAACTCCCCGCGTCTTGATTCCCTGGTACCACTCGAGCAGTTTAGGAGTCCAATGTTGAATTTGTTAAATGAGAATAGCGTTTGTTTTGGTCAAATGTAAAAATGCATTGTGGTGTTTTTTTAATTGTAACCTGTAGTTTTTATAAATGTTTTATTGGAATGTTCATGTTGAATTTGTTGTCCCCAGGGCACCATTGAAAACGGGCTCCCCTGATAAAAAACAACTATTACATAGCCACTAAAAGATGATCTATACATGCTCAAACTATAAGCAAACTATTGGAGAATCTCAATTGGTTTGGCTCGATTCCTCCTTTTGAAAAAGGTAAAAGGTCATCGAGGAGAGGAGGCGAGGAGAGGAAACGTGGATACAAATGCACTTGTATGAAATTACACTCCTCCACTATCGCGTCATCAGGCAAATGACGTTTACAGAGGAGGAGTCCCGAAATACATGTGGGTCGTACTTGAATTGTGGTGGCTTTTGCGTCCTTCTCCTTTGCAACCATGAAAAACTATTTAAAATATCAAATAGTTATGGCTCATGTTTTATGCATTGTTTAAAGCAAATTCGCTTGTCCCAGTAGTGACCCAGTAGAGTTGTTTTTCGAATTTAGAGATATCTATTATTTGCTAAATGGCATATTATATATTATATTATTTGGAATGGTAGAAAGTAAACAAAAGTGTTTAATATATTGTATAGATCAATAATAAAAGGCTATTAATATACAGTGGGGAAAAAAAGTATTTAGTCAGCCACCAATTGTGCAAGTTCTCCCACTTAAAAAGATGAGAGAGGCCTGTAATTTTCATCATAGGTACACGTCAACTATGACAGACAAAATGAGAAAAGAAAATCCAGAAAATCACATTGTAGGATTTTTAATGAATTTATTGGCATATGATGGTGGAAAATAAGTATTTGGTCAATAACAAAAGTTTCTCAATACTTTGTTATATACCCTTTGTTGGCAATGACACAGGTCAAACGTTTTCTGTAAGTCTTCACAAGGTTTTCACACACTGTTGCTGGTATTTTGGCCCATTCCTCCATGCAGATCTCCTCTAGAGCAGTGATGTTTTGGGGCTGTCGCTGGGCAACACAGACTTTCAACTCCCTCCAAAGATTTTCTATGGGGTTGAGATCTGGAGACTGGCTAGGCCACTCCAGGACCTTGAAATGCTTCTTACGAAGCCACTCCTTCGTTGCCCGGGCGGTGTGTTTGGGATCATTGTCATACTGAAAGACCCAGCCACGTTTCATCTTCAATGCCCTTGCTGATGGAAGGAGGGTTTCACTCAAAATCTCACGATACATGGCCCCATTCATTCTTTCCTTTACACGGATCAGTCGTCCTGGTCCCTTTGCAGAAAAACAGCCCCAAAGCATGATGTTTCCAACCCCATGCTTCACAGTAGGTATGGTGTTCTTTGGATGCAACTCAGCATTCTTTGTCCTCCAAACATGACGAGTTGAGTTTTTACCAAAAAGTTATATTTTGGTTTCATCTGACCATATGACATTCTCCCAATCCTCTTCTGGATCATCCAAATGCACTTCAGACGGGCCTGGACATGTACTGGCTTAAGCAGGGGGACACGTCTCGCACTGCAGGATTTGAGTCCCTGGCGGCGTAGTGTGTTACTGATGGTTGGCTTTGTTACTTTGGTCCCAGCTCTCTGCAGGTCATTCACTAGGTCCCCCCGTGTGGTTCTGGGATTTTTGCTCACCGTTCTTGTGATCATTTTGACCCCACGGGGTGAGATCTTGCGTGGAGCCCCAGATCGAGGGAGATTATCAGTGGTCTTGTATGTCTTCCATTTCCTAATAATTGCTCCCACAGTTGATTTCTTCAAACCAAGCTGCTTACCTATTGCAGATTCAGTCTTCCCAGCCTGGTGCAGGTCTACAATTTTGTTTTTGGTGTCCTTTGACAGCTCTTTGGTCTTGGCCATTGTGAAGTTTGGAGTGTGACTGTTTGAGGTTGTGGACAGGTGTATTTTATACTGATAACAAGTTCAAACAGGTGCCATTAATACAGGTAACGAGTGGAGGACAGAGGAGCCTCTGAAAGAAGAAGTTACAGGTCTGTGAGAGCCAGAAATCTTGCTTGTTTGTAGGTGACCAAATACTTATTTTCCACCATAATTTGCAAATAAATTCATTAAAAATCCTACAATGGGATTTTCTGGATTTTTTTTCCTCAATTTGTCTGTCATAGTTGACGTGTACCTATGATGAAAATTACAGGCCTCTCTCATCTTTTTAAGTGGGAGAACTTGCACAATTGGTGGCTGACTAAATACTTTTTTTCCCCACTGTATCTATATTATTTTACTATTTTACTTTTCAATTAATAAACCATTGTGTTTATTTCATGAAAATAACTCAAAATATATACGCATGATCATTTATTTCCCTGAGCCTCCTTTTGTCATTGAAACGCTCAGTCTGATCGTGATGGGCGTGTTGATACAAATTTACATACACAGCCCTGATTGGTGGATAGGATTGTCTAGACTCTAGAGCCTACCCTGCTTACCCCTTCAAAGTAGGAGGATACATATGCAAATAAAAGACGACTGGTCATTGATCGGAATAATCAGATCAGATTGTGATGTCATGCTGTGGGGCCAAAAACTCCATCCCACCTGAACAGGCTGAAATTCCAGGTGTTTTTTATTTTTTAAATATTTTTTTAAGCTCTTACACTAAAAGGGCATTATAGGATACACCAATTGAAGAGAGAAGCAAACTCCTCTGTTCACCTATTAACTAATTTACACTCTCCTACATAAGCATTTCACTGTACAGTTCACACCTGCTGTATCCTGTGCACGTGACAAATAAACTTTGATTTTATTTGATACATATGGTGACCACTTATCGGTTTCTGGGTCGGAGAGGAGAGGATGATGGGGGAGTAGAGGAGAGGACAGACTTTTTGCCCAATTGAGAATCTCCCTACCAACTGAAACTCTGTTGATATGCAACCGCTTGGATGTGGACATGAAGCTAGGGTTACAATGGTGGTTGAGGCTAAGGTTAGGGCTAGGGTTAGGGTTGAATCGGGATATGGACATGAAGATGGAGTTCAGGATTAGGGTTGAGGCTAGGGTTAGGGTTGAGCTGGGATATGGACATGAAGATGGAGTTCAGGATTAGGGTTAGGGCTAGGGTTAGGGTTGAATCGGGATATGGACATGAAGATGGAGTTCAGGATTATGGTTGAGGCTAGGGTTAGGGTTGAACTGGGATATGGACATGAAGATGGAGTTCAGGATTAGGGTTGAATCGGGATATGGACATGAAGATGGAGTTCAGGATTAGGGTTGAGGCTAAGGTTAGGGTTAGGGTTAGGGTTGAGCTGGGAAATTGACATTAATCCGGGGTTGTAGTTAGGGTTAGTTAGTTGACAATTGAACATCTATAAACCATCTATTGAGGACTATCCAAATAACATGTTATCCAAAGCAGTGTTTATTTCCATCCCAGTCTTTAGTAAGAGCATGCCTTTGGACAGATTCAAACTCCATCCCAGTCTTTAGTAAGAGCATGCCTTTGGACAGATTCAAACTCCATCCCAGTCTTTAGTAAGAGCATGCCTTTGGACAGATTCAAACTCCATCCCAGTCTTTAGTAAGAGCATGCCTTTGGACAGATTCAAACTCCATCCCAGTCTTTAGTAAGAGCATGCCTTTGGACAGATTCAAACTCCATCCCAGTCTTCAGTAAGAGCATGCCTTTGGACAGATTCAAACTCCATCCCAGTCTTTAGTAAGAGCATGCCTTTGGACAGATTCAAACTCCATCCCAGTCTTTAGTAAGAGCATGCCTTTGGACAGATTCAAACTCCATCCCAGTCTTTAGTAAGAGCATGCCTTTGGACAGATTCAAACTCCATCCCAGTCTTCAGTAAGAGCATGCCTTTGGACAGATTCAAACTCCATCCCAGTCTTCAGTAAGAGCATGCCTTTGGACAGATTCAAACTCCATCCCAGTCTTCAGTAAGAGCATGCCTTTGGACAGATTCAAACTCCATCCCAGTCTTTAGTAAGAGAATGCCATTGGACAGATTCAAACTCCATCCCAGTCTTTAGTAAGAGCATGCCATTGGACAGATTCAAACTCCATCCCAGTCTTTAGTAAGAGCATGCCTTTGGACAGATTCAAACTCCATCCCAGTCTTTAGTAAGAGCATGCCATTGGACAGATTCAAACTCCATCCCAGTCTTCAGTAAGAGCATGCCTTTGGACAGATTCAAACTCCATCCCAGTCTTTAGTAAGAGCATGCCTTTGGACAGATTCAAACTCCATCCCAGTCTTCAGTAAGAGCATGCCTTTGGACAGATTCAAACTCCATCCCAGTCTTTAGTAAGAGCATGCCTTTGGACAGATTCAAACTCCATCCCAGTCTTTAGTAAGAGCATGCCTTTGGACAGATTCAAACTCCATCCCAGTCTTCAGTAAGAGCATGCCATTGGACAGATTCAAACTCCATCCCAGTCTTCAGTAAGAGCATGCCTTTGGACAGATTCAAACTCCATCCCAGTCTTCAGTAAGAGCATGCCTTTGGACAGATTCAAACTCCATCCCAGTCTTCAGTAAGAGCATGCCTTTGGACAGATTCAAACTCCATCCCAGTCTTTAGTAAGAGCATGCCTTTGGACAGATTCAAACTCCATCCCAGTCTTCAGTAAGAGCATGCCTTTGGACAGATTCAAACTCCACCCCAGTCTTCAGTAAGAGCATGCCTTGGACAGATTCAAACTCCATCCCAGTCTTTAGTAAGAGCATGCCTTTGGACAGATTCAAACTCCATCCCAGTCTTTAGTAAGAGCATGCCTTTGGACAGATTCAAACTCCATCCCAGTCTTTAGTAAGAGCATGCCTTTGGACAGATTCAAACTCCATCCCAGTCTTTAGTAAGAGCATGCCTTTGGACAGATTCAAACTCCATCCCAGTCTTTAGTAAGAGTATGCCTTTGGACAGATTCAAACTCCATCCCAGTCTTTAGTAAGAGCATGCCTTTGGACAGATTCAAACTCCATCCCAGTCTTTAGTAAGAGCATGCCTTTGGACAGATTCAAACTCCATCCCAGTCTTTAGTAAGAGCATGCCTTTGGACAGATTCAAACTCCATCCCAGTCTTTAGTAAGAGCATGCCTTTGGACAGATTCAAACTCCATCCCAGTCTTTAGTAAGAGCATGCCTTTGGACAGATTCAAACTCCATCCCAGTCTTTAGTAAGAGCATGCCTTTGGACAGATTCAAACTCCATCCCAGTCTTTAGTAAGAGCATGCCTTTGGACAGATTCAAACTCCAACTGCCACTCTGTAGTTAAAGTGTAAAGAAGCTGTCCCTAGATACCCCTTCAGATCACTTGAAAAACAGATGTCAATCTCAATGTGACTTCTCTGGTTAAATAAAGGATAAAAAAAACTGTTTGGAATATTATTCACCTTAACCTTCATTTAATATACTCATACTCAACTCTTACAAAGTAAATATGTCTAAAATCCATTAGTTGAGAGTGTAATACTGGTTTCAAACAAGGGGAAAATAAAATAGTCAGATAAAAATGGATCAATCTAAGTCTGAGTCTGTCTTTCAGGAACCTTTAAATGAGTTCAAGTCTGAAAAATAAGTATCCAAGGTAAGCACATTGTGTGAATGTGTCATACACCATTGATTAAACTGTTAATGTTTGTGGTTAAAGTGGGTGAAAGGCCAACATACATTGTGGTGTAGCATGTCATTGATGTCTTCTTGGCCACGCAGAAACATTCAGATGAGGTCCTAGTGCATCATGAGGCCCCACTGTCAGAGACTTAGCCCTACAGCAGCTGCCTGGATCAGCTCAGTCTAAGGTTTGTGTTGACTGGTGTGGGTCCTCTGGTTTGTGTTGGAATACTTTAAAAATCCCTCCTCTTTCCCTCCCTTCCTTAACTACACTAATCCCTGATCTGACATGACTGGATAAGTGGAAGCTATGTGAACCGTTGCTTACACCTATCAGACTGTGTTCAACCAATACTTACTTGGGAGGAAGGAAGGATGCATTTTGAATGTATTCAAATATGGCCCAGAAGAAACACATCGGTGAACCACATAAGCGTGTGAAAGTATTCTGTGGGGAGTCGATTCGGAAGAGTTCAATACATGTAGCATCTGACACAGTTCTTGCCTGATGTGCATACTCCCCTGACGCAGGCCCATTGAACCGTACAACGGGGTCGAAATGGCGTGTTTTTAAAGGAGTCCCATTTGAACATGGGCCGTGTTTCTGTTGCTCTCCCATAGGAGTGATTGTGCAGAGGACTGCTGACTCCTGGGCTCCAGACTGCAGTGACGGCTGGCTGCGGCTCCAACACCGCAGTACACTGACTCCAGGCTGCACTGAGACATGGACATTCTGAAACGATAAAACAAGTGTGATACTTTTCCACTCTTCAGCTCAATGATTCAACTGCTATTTATGCCTTCAGATCGTGGCAACAGACCTCGAATGATGCCCACGGTTTAGGAGATAAATAAATAAATAACATTCTTTCAGAGACAGCCACCCTCCCTTGTTTGTCTAATAATAATAATAATACTGAAGCACTGTTCTCTCAATGTGGTAGAATTAGCACTGTGTGTTAGTTTAGTGTTGGTTCATTACCTCAAAGCATCATGCACTTGTAACACATTAGTTCCCTTTAAAGTACCCTGGTTTATAATACATTTATAACATCCGTTTATAACACATTCGTTACATTAAATCAGGGGTTCCCAAACTTTTTCACTCAGGCCCCCCCATGCAGCATTGGGGAACATCCCACGCACCACTATTTCTATGGGCACACAATTCTACACATTTTCTCATGGGGTGCAGAGAAAATGTTGCAGTTTCTTAAGCACATTTTTTTTGCAGTTCTATACATTTTGCCATGTCGAATGTGAATTCATGTGATATTTGAGTAAATCAAACATTACAACAAAATCTATCGGCTAAAAAAAACATTAGCTGACATGGGCTAGTTGATCTGGACATTTTCTGACAAGTTATAAATAGCTCTCTAAGGTACGCAATGACTGACATGACAAGAGGAAATCTGATGATGTATGTACTCATTTTGAAAGCCGGACTGAGTTGAAAGTAAGTTGAAAGCCGGACTGAGTTGAAAGCCGGACTGAGTTGAAAGCCGGTTTCCAACCTCTTCCATCAGCACAGCGCACACAATGTTGTCTTCATACTGGTGGGGGTATTCAACTTTGAAAGACTGGGAAAATAATTACATATTTTAGATCTTTAAATCTTTCTCATTAACAGTTTGTAATTGGGCACGCAAATTCAATAAAACATTCTCAGTTTAAGTTTTACTCTTGCATACTCTTTGACAGGTTACTTACAAAAAAGACATGATTCAATTATTCTGATAGTTTTAATTATTTGATTATGTCTGGGTGTACAAAAAGCATGCAAAAAATAGCTTCTTTATATATTGGTACATATTTACATTGTAACAGTTGCATTCAGTACAGGTTTGCCATGCTTTTTCCCGTTTACACCTGATTCTAACATGCGTCCTGATATTGTCCTGATCTTTTCCTGATCTAGTCCGTTTACACTTATGAGATCTGATCCCCATCACATCACAACGCGTATTTTCTACACCCGTCTAAAAATGTGGGCAACAATCAGAATGTGGACAAGATCAGGACAAATGACACGTTAGCACCATGTATGAATGAGGCTTCAGAAATATGCAGAACAGTACAGACATCGAATAAACTCAGCGAACAACAGGCACCTTCAACACAGAGACCAGGACAATCACATATAACAAAATAGCGGCGATGAAAAAACAACGACACTGTCCTCATCTTAACACTGTGTACACACTCACGCCCACAGCCCCCGTTTAGATTCAGTTCATCTCAACTTGTGTTAACAGGTGAAGCCGGAATGACAGACAGTAGTAGCAGCGGTCTGAATGTGTCATGATGATATGGGAATGTTAACAGGTGTAGCTGGAATGACAGGCAGCAGTATAGAGTGCCTGCTAAATGGGAAATGTGCAAAACGTTCATATTAAATTGGCATAACCGTGTCGATATCACCCGGGTCAACTCCCAAGACAATATACCTGGACATAACAGACCGAAGGAAAGGCTACCTGAGTGAATCAACACTGAAGAGGGAATGGCAAGGATATCACACTTCTGTGACACACATACCTGTACATACATGCATACATACACACAAAGGGGAATACACACAAAGGGGAATACACACAAAGGGGAATACACATTAGACTCTGATAAAGGTGCAGTGCTCCACACAGACGTACCAACAAAACAACAACCTGCGTTTCACTTTAGCTTGTGCATCAATCGTTCTTTTAGATGAAGTGTCAGATAGTGCCTTCTCATCGGAAGGGACCAGGTGGCAGACAGCTGGTTCACAGCCAGGTGCATCAGTTAGAAGTTAACCCGCAGACTGACAGGTGAAAAAGACAAACCCCTTAAAAAGCCCCCGTCGAATAACGACCACTTCCAGCGCAACGTGAATATAGCGTTCAACCCACAGGAAGAAAAGTAAAAGTAGAAAAAAACAACAAGGCATTGCAACAAAACAAAGCAAGCTCTTCAAACACGTTGATTGAAAACCCTTCACTTGGAATAGCATGCTATAGAAATCACAAAGAAAGAAGTATAATTAAAGATGGCTGCCGTAAATTCGTGAAACTGAAGCAACAGGAGGGCAACGAAGAAGAAAAAAACAGAGGGATAAAGAGAGGGTGTGAAGATGGCGTGAGTGAAAGAAAAAACCCCATGTGGCCAACAGGGAATGTATAATACAACTTTTTCCTTCCACTACCATCCCTCTATCCATCCGCTCACTGTAGCACCTAACAGCACTGATGTGTAAACCAGAGGGTTACGTCTCAAATGGCATTCTATTCCCTATATAGTGCACTACTTTTGATCAGAGCCTATAGGGACGCAGATTTAGGCCGGGATTTTAATCCGATGGCTGTCGACAATGCGCCATTTAAAGATAAGTTTCCGATTGAGCCGACATCTGCAGTGTGAACGCAATCTCTGCAAATGTTGGGAACATTACCTATCGCAGATAACCCTGAGGCTACGGCTGAGGACAGGAATAAGTACAACAAGTCCCGCAATGACCTCTGACCTCTGTAACCTCTACAACTCCATGACCTCTGCAGAGTCATCAAATTAGCAAAAGGACAATATAGGAATGAGGTTGAATCACATTACACAGGCTCCGCCCCCCCTGCTTATTAGTTAGCTTGACATTTAAAGGCAATTTCTGATTGAACCGACATATGCAGCGTTTAACCGTGAATGCGGTCACCCGCGAACACGGGAACATTGCCTTTAAAAAAGGTGCATAACCTAAAAGAGGCGATCGGTTTGAATCCCGGCCTGAGCGGCTTAAATCAGAGGCTCAGTTCAGAAGTGCTACTGACCCTTCATTAATACGCTGCCCTCTCCTATCTGTCCTCAGTACCTAATTTCAATGGAGTGTTTTGCACAATAGAATTGCATCAAATCTGAAGAGATGGAGAGTGAGAGGGATAAATGGAAATCAGTGTACTGGGCCATTCTCATCTGCCACATGGGGATTGTGTTGTTGTGAATATAGAGATGTTGTTGTTTGTAGTGTTCCTAATCACCACATTGTAACGGTCCCTGGCAGAGCTGTGGAAGTGAGCGCTGTACTCTGACTCACAACAAACACACTTCCACATACAGGACAATGTGCCTGGGCTGGCAGAGAGAGAGAGAGAGGGAGAGAGGGAGGGAGAGAGGGGTGGGGAGGGAGAGAGGGGTGGGGAGAAAGCGAGAGATAGAAAGGGGGGAGAGAGAGGGGTGTCCCTGTGGGGAGCACCAGGGGTGTGTGTCTGTCACAACCAATCAACCAGTTCAACAAGGCTTCTGACGGCACTGTGCGTGGAAGGGTTATGTTGACAGCTTAGCATGTACGGGTGAGATAGGTAGACAACAACGTTGACATTATACTGACCGACACATTTCTGATCTATGTACAACACTTCAGATTGAAACTATTGATTGTGATAGGTGGTTAAAAGCCCCGTGTGTTCGTCTCGTTTCGAACTGTAGGGGGCGCCATAACAACAGCTGCATGCACCAGTCTCTCGGTCATGCAGGCTCTTAGGGCACCCCATTGTCCATGACTGTGAAGGCTGCCTTAAGACAGTCTCGGAACGGCGATGACGTTCATCATGCATTGTGTAGGTAAAGTGACATCGAAACATGACAAACAAAATGCAAGTCCTCTTCTTTTCAGTGACATCATGCCTGCAGACAGACAGACAGACAGACAGACAGACAGACAGACAGACAGACAGACAGACAGTAGAGATTGCAGTAGTCTTGAGTACACCAGCGAACAATCTAACTGGTGGTAGTCCAGTGTGTTGTCTCCAGTGTGTTGTCTCCAGTGTGTTGTCTCCAGTGCTGTTTGAGTTCTCTGTGTTTATTTGGGTGATTACACACGATGACGGAGTGAGGTGAGGTGAGGTGAGGTGAAGTGAAGTGAGGTCAGGGAAGGATGAAGGGGAGGGACAGGAATATGAGAGTTGAGTGCATTATAGATTTAAAGGGACAGAGGCAATGTACAGATGGGGGTTTAAAGGGGAAGGGCATATAGTTCTTAAAGGGGAGGAGGTGGCTCAGAGGCCTGTGTGGAGCTGATCTGGGCTGGGCTGACTGGAGAAGAGGGTTCATCTTCATGCAGGTCTTCTAGCTCTCCCTCCCTACTTCCCTCTCCACTGCTGCCCTTCCTGAAAGAGTAAGAGACAGATGGAGGGGGAGAGGGAGAGAGAAGGGGAGAGAGAGAGAAGAGGAGGGGAAAAATAGAGAAGGGGGGGAGAGAGAGAAAGAGGAGAGATACAGTGGGGGGAGATTTTTAGACGGGGGGAGGAGAGAGAAAAACGGGGAAGAGAGAGAGAAAACGGGGGAGGAAAAGGGAAGAGCCCGGGGGAAAGGGGAGGGGACGAGGGGAGAAAAGATAAACGGGGGAAAAAGAGATAAGGGGAGTGAGAAAAAACGGGGAAAATGATAAAACCCGGGTAGAAAGAAAACGGGGAAAAAAGAGAAACCCAAAGAGAAAAAAGGGGAAAAAAAACCCGGGAAAAAAAAAAAGGAAACGGGGGAGGAGAGAAGAAAGGAAGTTAAGACGAAAAAATTTTTAACCATAAAGAGGAAAGTTTTTTTATAGAGAATAGAAATTTTTTTTTTTTTGGGGAAGGAAAATTTTTAACCAAAAGGAACCCCCAAACAAAAAAGAAGCGATAACCCCAAAAACTTTTGGTTTAAAAATTTTGGGAAAAAATACAAAGATATAAAAAGGGGGGGAAAAAAGCCCTTGTAAAAAATCAAA